TTGTTGAGGATTTTTGCATCATTGTTAATCGGTGATATTGGCCTACAGTGTTCTTTCTTTGTGACATCTTTGTCTGGTTTTGGTATCAGGGTGATGGTAGCCTTGTAGAATGAGTTTGGGAGTGTTCCTCCCTCTCCTATATTTTGGAAGAGTTTGAGAAGGATAGGTGTTAGCTCTTCTCTAAATGTTTGATGGAATTCGCCTGTGAAGCCCTCTGGTCCTGGGCTTTTGTTTGTTGGAAGATTTTAAATCACAGTTTCAATTTCAGTGCTTGTGATTAGTCTGTTCTTATTTTCTATTTCTTCCTGGTTCAGTCTCGTAAGGTTGTGCATTTCTAAGCATTTGTCCATTTCTTCCATGTTGTCCATTTTATTGTCATAGAGTTGCTTGTAGTAATCTCTCATGATCTTTTGTATTTCTGCAGTGTCAGTTGTTACTTCTCCTTTTTCATTTCTAATTCTATTGATTTGAGTCTTCTCCCTTTTTTTCTTAATGAGTCTGGCTAAGTGGTTTATCAATTTCGTTTATCTTCTCAAAGAACTAGCTTTTAGTTTTATTGATCTTTGCTATCATTTCCTTCATTTCTTTTTCATTTATTTCTGATCTGATATTTATGATTTCTTTCCTTTTGCTAACTTTGCAGTTTTGTGGTTCTTCTTTCTCTAATTGCTTTAGGTGTAAGGTTAGGTTGTTTATTTGAGATTTTTCTTGTTTCTTAAGGTAGGATTGTATTGCTATAAACTTCCCTCTTAGAACTGCTTTTGCTTCATCCTGTAGGTTTTGGGTCGTTGTGTTTTCATTGTCATTTGTTTCTCTGGTTTTTTTTTGATTTCCTCTTTGATTTCTTCAGTAACCTCTTGGTTATTAAGTAGTGTATTGTTTAGCATCCCTGTGTTTGTATTTTTTACAGAATTTTTCCTGTAATTGATATCTAGTCTCACAGCGTTGTTGTCGGAAAAGATACTTGATATGATTTCAGTTTTCTTAAATTTACCAAGGCTCAATTTGTGACCCAAGATATGATCTATCCTGGAGAATGTTCCATGAGCACTTGAGAAGAAAGTGTATTCTGTTGTTTTTGAATGGAATGTCCTATAAATATCAATTAAGTCCATCTTGTTTAATGCATCATTTAAAGCTTGTGTTTCCTTATTTATTTTCATTTTGGATGATCTGTCCATTGGTGAAAGTGGGGTGTTAAAGTCCCCTACTATGACTGTGTTACTGTTGATCTCCCCTTTTGTGGCTCTTAGTATTTGCCTTATGTATTGAGGTGCTCCTATGTTGGGTGCATAAATATTTACAGTTGTTATATCTTCTTGTTTGATTGATCCCTTGATCATTATGTAGTGTCCTTTTTTGTCTCTTGTAATAGTCTTTGTTTTAAAGTCTATTTTGTCTGATATGAGAATTACTACTCCAGCTTTCTTTTGATTTCCATTTGCATGGAATATCTTTTTCCATCCCCTCACTGTCAGTCTGTATGTGTCCCTAGATCTGAAGTGGGTCTCTTGTAGCCAGCATATATACGGGTCTTGTTTTTGTATCCATTCAGCCAGTCTATGTCTTTTGGTTGGAGCATTTAATCCATTTACGTTTAAGGTAATTATTGATATGTATGTTCCTATTACCATTTTCTTAATTGTTTTGGGTTTGTTATTGTACGTCTTTTCCTTCTCTTGTGTTTCCTGCCTAGAGAAGTTCCTTTAGCATTTGTTGTAAAACTGGTTTGGTGGTGCTGAATTCTCTTAGCTTTTGCTCCGTCAAATGTGAATGAGATCCTTGCTGGGTAGAGTAATCTTGGTTGTAGGTTTTTCCCCTTCATCACTTTAAATATGTCCTGCCACTCTCTTCTGGCTTGCAGAGTTTCTGCCGAAAGATCAGCTGTTAACCTTAGGGGGATTCCCTTGTATGTTATTTGTTGTTTTTCCCTTGCTGCTTTTAATACTTTTTCTCTGTATTTAATTTTTGATAATTTGATTAATATGTGTCTTGGTGCATTTCTCCTTGGATTTATCCTGTATGGAACTCTCTGTGCTTCCTGGAGTTGATTAACTATTTCCTTTCCCATATTAGGGAAGTTTTCCACTATAATCTCTTCCAATATTTTCTCAGTCCCTTTTTTTTCTTTTCTTCTTCTGGGACAGCTATAATTCAAATATTGATGCGTTTAATGGTGTCCCAGAGTTCTCTGAGACTGTCCTCAATTCTTTTCATTGTTTTTTCTTTATTCTGCTCTGCAGTAGTTATTTCCACTATTTTATCTTCCAGGTCACTTATCTGTTCTTCTGCTTCAGTTATTCTGCTATTGATCCCTTTTGGCAAATATTTAATTTCATTTTTTGTGTCGTTCATCATTGTTTGTTTGCTCTTTAGTTCTTCTAGGTCCTTGTTAAACGTTTCTTGTATTTTCTCCATTCTATTTCCAAGATTTGGGATCATCTTTACTATCATTATTCTGAATTACTTTTCAGGTAGACTGCCTATTTCCTCTTCATTTGTTTGGTCTGGTGGGTTTTTACTTTGCTCCTTCATCTGCTGTGTGTTTCTCTGTCTTCTCATTTTGCTTAACTTATTGTGTTAGGGGTCTCCTTTTCACAGACTGCAAGTTCGTAGTTCCCATTGTTTTTGATGTCTGCCCCCAGTTGCTAAGGTTGGTTCAGTGGGTGGTGTAGGCTTCCTGGTGGAGGGGACTAGTGCCTGTGTTCTGGTGGATGAGGTTGGATCTTGTCTTTCTGGTGGGCAGGTCCACGTCTGGTGGTGTGTTTTCGGGTGTCTGTGGCCTTATTATGGTTTTAGGCATCCTCTCTGCTAATGGGTGAGGTTGTGTTCCTGTCTTGCTAGTTTTTTGGCATGGGGTGTCCAACACTGGAGCTTGCTGGTCATTGAGTGGAGCTGGGTCTTGGCGTTAAGATGGAGATCTCTGGGGGGTTTTCACCGTTTGATATTACGTGGAGCTGGGAGGTCTCTTGTGGACCAATGTCCTGAACTTGGCTCTCCCACCTTAGAGGTGCAGCCCTGACGCCTGGCTGGAACACCAAGAGCCTGTCATCCACACAGCTCAGAATAAAAGGGAGAAAAGAAAGAAAGAAAGAAGATAAAATAAAATTAAATTAAAAAGTTATTAAAAATAAAAAGTAATTATTAAAAAAATTTTAATAAAAAAGAGAGCGACCAAACCAGAAAACAAATCCACCAATGATAAATAACAAGTGCTAAAAACTATACTAAAACAAACAAACAAACAAAAAACCAGACAGACTGAACCCTAGGTCAAATGGTAAAAGCAAAGCTATACAGACAAAATCACACGCAGAAGCATACACATACACACTCACAAACTGAGAAAAAGGGGAAAAAATATATATATATATCGTTGCTCCCAAAGTCCACCTCCTCAATTTGGGATGATTCGTTGTCTTTTCAGGTATTCCACAGATGCAGGGTACATAAAGTTGATTGTGGAGATTTAATCCACTGCTCCTGAGGCTGCTGGGAGAGATTTCCCTTTCTCTTCTTTGTTCGCACAGCTCCTGGGGTTCAGCTTTGGATTTGGACCCGCCTCTGCGTGTAGGCCGCCTGAGGGCGTCTGTTCCCGCCCAGACAGGACGGGGTTAAAGGAGCCGCTGACGGGGGCTCTGGCTCACTCAGGCCGGGGGAGGGAGGGGCACGGAGTGCGGGGCTAGCCTGCGGCGGCAGAGGCCGGCTTGACGTTGCACCAGCCTGAGGCGCGCTGTGTGTTCTCCCGGGGAAGTTGTCCCTGGATCCCGGGACCCTAGCAGTGGCGGGTTGCACAGGCTCCCCAGAAGTGGGTGTGGATAGTGACCTGTGCTCGCACACAGGCTTTTTGGTGGCGGCAGCAGCTGCCTTAGCATCTCATACCCGTCTCTGGGGTCCGCGCTTTTAGTCGCGGCTCGCGCCCGTCTCTGGAGCTCCTTTAAGCAGCGCTCTTAATCCCCTCTCCTCGCGCACCAGGAAACAAAGAGGCAAGAAAAAGTCTCTTGCCTCTTCGGCAGCTCCAGACCTTTTCCTGGGACGGTCGGCCCTGATCCTCTGTGCGGGAATCTCACCGCTTTGCCCTCCGCACCCCTGTGGCTGCACTCTCCCCCGCGGCTCCGATGCTTCCCCCTCTGCTACCCGCAGTCACCGCCTGCGAAGGGGGGCTTCCTACTGTGTGGAAACCTTTCCTCCTTCACAGCTCCCTCCCACTGGTGCAGGTCCCGTCCCTATCCTTTTGTCTCTGTTTATTCTTTTTTCTTTTGCCCTACCCAGGTACGTGGGGAGTTTCTTGCCTGTTGGGAGGTCTGAGGTCTTCTGCCAGCGTTCAGTAGGTGCTCTGTAGGAGTTGTAGATGTATTTCTGGTGTGTCTGTGGGGAGGAAGGTGATCTCCGCGTCTTACTCTTATGCCATCTTGAAGCTCCTCCTGGGGGAGATTTTTGATTACTGGTTCAATCCCCTTACTAGTAATCAGTGTGTTCAGATTTTATATTTCTTCATGATTCAGTCTTGGCAGGTTGTATGTTTCCAGGAATTTATTCGTTTTGTCTAGATTGTTCAATCTGTTGGAATATAATTTTTCTTAATAGTCACTAATGATCCTTTGTATTGTCTGTGGTATCAGTTTTAAGAATTTCTGGCCATCACAGTTCTTCAACATCTAAATGTCTCCAGTAGGCAGAAACTCTTGTTCACAGCAAGAAGAGGGTCATTCTGCCCGTCTCCTCTTTGATTAAATCAACACACTCCTGCCCTTTCAGTACCTGACCACCACGCCACCCCTCACGTGGCACTGATCCCTGCCCACCACATCCTGCCCCACCTCCTGTTAAACTTAGCTGTCCTTCTTTAGGGAAAATGAAAGAGAAGGCAGATTTCAGACTTCATTAATTTCTCTCTGTTTAGCACCTTGGACAAGGACAGGCTGGTAAATGCAGGCCCTTTTCTGCAAGCTGCTTGAAACCAAGGTGTCCTTTCCCTTCCTCCTTCCTGCCTGGCATAGGTTCTCTCTGGACAAGGACACGGGACTCATCATGCTGATTGCCAGGCTGGACTATGAACTCATCCAGCGCTTCACCTTGACAGTCATCGCCCGGGACGGGGGTGGCGAGGAAACCACAGGCCGGGTCAGGATCAACGTGTTGGACGTCAACGACAACGTGCCCACCTTCCAAAAGGACAGCTATGTGGGTGCCCTGAGAGAGAATGAGCCTTCCGTCACACAGCTGGTGCGGCTCCGGGTAAGATGCCGGGCTGCCCTTTGATCTGTCTGTTTGCCTTGTCCTCCTCTCTCTGGTTTCCCCTTGACCGCCTGCTCAGGAAGCCACTGCAAGAAGTACTAAGTGCCCGTCCACAAAGAATTCTGCTCAGATCGGGGGTCACGATCTGTGTCAGGCCACCTCTGAGTGGTACTTCAGGTCCCTGGTTACTGAATGAGGCTAGTGTGTGTCTCCATTCACCCCCCATCTCCCTTGGTGAGTTCTGAGCAGGTCCCTGTGTAAGGCCCCCCATCCAAGCCCTTTAATGACTGCTTAGAATCAGGTACTGCTGCAGCTGGAAGATACCAAAAACCATGGGCACAACCCAGTTCATGGAAGGGGAAACAGGAGGGGAGCGGCAGACGCCATGAATTAGTAGAGGAGAGGGCCAGGACTAGAACTCGGGACTCTACGCTCCAAGCATCCTCCTGCAATGAGTCCCCACCGCGTGTTGGTGACCTCTGACCAGAAACTTCTTAATGTCCTCGTGCCCCTTCCCCACTCTGCCGACCCTGAATGACAGGACCCAGAGCCTCCACTGAGAACTTATTTCTGAAGGAGGCAGGGATGAAAGCGAGGTGGAGGAGGTGGGCACGGGGGATACACAGAAGACAGGACCCCGTGCCCTCCGAACGTAGCCCTGGCTCCCCGGTGGACCCTGCCCTCCCTCACCGCCCGTGTCCTCTTACATGCAGAGTGGAGGGAGGCCCCTGGCGGCTCTCTAGGGTCAAAGACATCTGGAAAGAGCTAACTAATGCAGCCACCCCAGAGACAGTCAAGAGAAAGGAGGATCCCTGACCCAATTCCAAGTGCCACCTTCCCTTCTTGCGTTCATGCAACGTGCATTTATTAGATGACCTACTGTGTTCCAAACACTGCTGGATTCCAGGTATCAGCTTCAGTCAGGAAGCAAAGTTCCCGCTTCCACGGAGCTGACAGGCAGGCAGAACGAGGAAGACAGAAATTAAACACGAAGTTCCAATCGGGAGGGGGGACGAATGGGGTGCCCAGCACAGGGCCCTAACCCAGTCCAGAGGTCAGGGAAGGCCTCTGTGCATGAGGTGTTCCAGCTGGTACTGAGGGTGTAGGAGATGGCCGTGCCAGGTATGGTGGCGACCCTTTTCATCCTCTGGGTAAGGCTTGGCCTTCCTCTGTTCCTCCAGGCCTTCAGCCTGCCCTCTAGATTCCCCAGGATACCTCCACACCCCAACATGAGGCGTGTCTGCTGGGAGCCAGAGAGTAGCCTCCAGCTGAGGGACAACGGGGGCCTGGATCACCCAGAAAAGGGGGCTCAGAGAGGGGCCAGCCCTCCCCTCCCACCTGCCCTCTTCTGGCCCCAGGGTCACTGAAAGCTCAAGGGCCCTGTCTGCCCTCTTCCTTCCAGGCAACGGATGAAGACTCTCCTCCCAACAACCAGATCACCTACAGCATAGTCAACGCCTCCGCCTTCGGCAGCTACTTCGACATCCGCGTGTATGAGGGCTATGCCGGTACGCGTGGGGCAGGGCTGAGGGCCCAGCCTGGGAGGAGGGTTGGCAGGTGGGGGCAGGGTTGCACATCACACCTGTCTCAGGAGGGAGCCCTTCTGTCTCCCAGACACCCTGGACCACTTGGGAAGCTGCCCCACAGCTCCCGTCGTCTGGAGCAGCACGTGGTATGGGGTCACCATTTCATAGGCTCAAGATCTGTGTCTCAGTTCAGCCAGATCTTTCTTTGAGTCTTAGGCCTGGGGCCAGTCAGGCATCTGAAGTTACCACAGTGTGTGGGGTTCCTGTTCAGAAGGGCTGCCTGGCCAGATCTGTGGCGGGGGACGAGGGGGAGGGGAGCCAGGTAGAGGCTTCTTAGCCAAGCTTCCCCATCCTTTGGGCATGCTGTGGCCACTTCCCAGATCTTCCGGGCTATGGCCTTTCCCTGCTTGGCCAGGCACCGTTCCATACTCTGGACCTTGCCCTGCCTGCCGCACTGTGAGTCCAGGAAGGGCATAGCAGCAACAACCTCAACCTTCGAGATCCCAAGAGACCACCTGGTCTTTTTGTTGAAGCAACTGGGGCCCAGAGACGGGGCGTGACTTGCCCAAAGTCACACAGCAAAGCTGTCCAGGGAGGCCCTGGGATCTGGCTCTTGGTGGCTTTTCAGCAGCTGCCTCCCCACCAGAATCCAACCTCCTTGAACTTCTTGACACTCTCACCCCTTACAGGGGTCACTTCCATGTCTTTGAAGAGTCTTTTCCTTCTGCTGGGAAAGCCCTTCCTCCCTGTCCCTTTGCCCTGCTTCCCTTTAACCTCTGGCTTGCTTCAGGGCTCATTTGGACATCCTCTCCTCTGCGAAGCTTCCCTAATGCTTGGAGATGGTCTAGGTGTCCCCAAGGCAGAGCAGATGTGCACTGGGTGACTCTGAGTGCAGTGCTCACGCCTCCTCCCACCCCACATCTGTGTCAGAGAAATGCTCTTGGAGAAGCTGCAGTCCTGGGTCTGGGTGCTACAGCCCGATGGTCTCTGTAAAATCTGTGTCCCCCCTTTTAAAAACGTAACAGTCCCATGCCTCTGCCCACCCTCACACCTCACCACCTTCTCAGCTAGAGGAACCCTCCTTGGGTTTTCTATTACTAAAGCAACAATTTTGTTTCTGTTTTCCAAATAGAAAGTGGTGATTTAATATTGTGGTAATGCCTTTGCAGACTACCCGTGCCCCCCCACTCCCAAGCCAATACATCTTCCCTCCCAAATTGAGAATCAATGGCCGAGCATGAAAGATACTCATGGTGAGAGTCCAGGCATGTGCAGTGTGCCTTTGGGGAAGACACTGAACCTCTCTGAGCCTGGTTTCCTCATCTGTAAAGTGGGGCTTACGTTACCACCCAAATAGTTACCACCTGCTGGACTACACACTATGCCTGGCACAGATCAGGCAGTCAGTAAACCTAAGTCAGGACCACGGGGCTCCGGGAGTTCAGAGGCAGGAGGGGAAAACAAGGCAGAGCTGGCTCGGGCTAAGCCAGCCACACCCTCTCTGCCCAAAGGGGAGCCGTGGCTGGATGGACATGTAAAGTCTGCTCACAGAGGGCCTGGGGCCCTACCCTGTCATTTCAGTGATCAGCGTGAACCGCCCCCTGGATTATGAACAGATACCCAACGGGCTGATTTATCTGACGGTCATGGCCAAGGATGCTGGCAACCCGCCTCTGAACAGCACTGTCCCTGTCACCATCGAGGTGTTTGTAAGTACCCAGGGGTGCACTGGCCTTGCCCTTCCAGGATATGGGGTGGTGAGTGCTTCCCAGAGTATTGGGGCCCTGTCAGAACCCGCTGTCCCCACAGCTCAGAGAGTTACTCAGCAGACTGTCCCCAAGGCTGTCTGCTAGCAAACCGCCTCGCAGCTCGGCCATGGAAGGCACAGGGCCCTGGGACCCAAGAAGAGCCCAGTGGTCCTGCTCTAACTTCATTCAGGGACCTCAGGACACCCTCTGAGGGGGAACAGGAGCTGGGGCTCAAGCAGGGAGGAAATGTCATTGATTCCTTCATTTATAGCCATATTCGGTGAAGTTCAAGGGAATTGCTGGAAGGTCATCTTCTCTGTCTCTCTCTCTGGTCCCCTCTTTCTTCTTCACTTCCTTTTTCCATTCCTGTGAAGATCTAAAAGAGCCTGAAACCAAACCACAGCTTGTCTGACATGAATGGCAAGCACACCTTAGTGCTTTCCGTGTCTGAAATTATGTCGCTGAATCCAGCTCCACACTGGTTCACTGACCCCATGCAGCTCCCCCAGCAATCCCGGGGATGCAGATCACGGTCTGATAGTAGCCCTGCCGCCCCGCAAGACACCCGCCCCCATCTCATAAAGGCTGCTGCCCGCGGAGAGGGTGAACACGTGTTGACGGAAGAGTTAGTGCATTACTGGCTCCAGAAGGATTCGATCAGATTGCCAGGTTAGGAGATACTCTGCGATTTGACACACACTCAGCAAAATCTTGCCCAGAGCAGGTTGATGGATGACCTTCCTGTCCCAGCTGGCTGTGGTAACAGCCTCTGGTGCTGCCTTACTTCTGGCTTTAATGAGTCTCATCCTTGCAACCCAAGTCCAAGGCTCCAGGGCCAGCTCTGGACGGGGACCCCACTTGCTTGCGGAATAGGACAGGGCAGTGATGGAAAAGTCGAGGGTGATTCCTGCGGGGAGCCCTGCAGCTTGGGCATGTGGGAACAGCATTTCGGGGTAGGAGAGGATGGAGAGTCTCTGCAGAACCAGGTCCAGTAATGGAAAGTCAGAGTCTGGGACCCTAGATCTGGCACTTCAGGCTCCAGGGAGTGGCCAGGAGGAGATCCACAGAAGCCCAAACGCATGCCCGCCTTTAACCTGCAACGTCCCACCTTGAAATGCCGAGGGTGATAGCAGAGAAGCAGAGTACGCTCCCTGCTAATCCTGGACAGGTCCTGGTATTCGTCCCCACGTGGCCCCAACCCTGACCACAGCCCCCAGACCCCCCCTAACCCTGGCCACACTTATAACCCTGACTGACGCCCACCCCCATCCCCCATCACTTTCAACCAGAATCTTCCTCTACTCAAGCGAGCAGTGAATTCCTCCTGTGTGCGCGGTGCAGTAGAAGGTCCTGGGGGGATATGAAGGCGACTGTGAATCCTGCTCCCCCCACAAAGGGACACTGTGAATAGAGGGAGGAGCACAGCTTGGGAGGCATATGGCTTTGAAACCCAGCTCTGCCACCCTGTAGCCATGTGACCCGTGGCTCTTGTCCTCTCTGAGCCTCAGTGTCCTGATCTACAGAATGGGGACACTCATGGTACTGCCTCATGATATTGGGAAGATTAACTGCGATCCTGCAGGTGGTACCTGGCTCCGGTAAGGTGGGCCGTCGTCACAGCTGATAGGACAGATGTGCGTACGAGCGGCAGCACGCGTGCGCCAGGCTCTCTGGTGCAAGGGGAATTCCAGACAACTCAGCTGGGCAGAGAAGGACCCTCTCTAGGCTTTAGGGAAATGGAAGTGAAAGAGGATGAGAGTAGGGGAGGTTTGGGGAAATGAGTTGAGGTGTTCCACGCCACCCAGAGATGGGCAGGCAGAATGGACCAAACGGAAGTTAAAACGTCTCTAGCTCCATACCGTGCCAACTGCTTTCATGTTACACAGTCTCTCTCAATCCCACTCAGCAGATGAGGCTCAGGGAGGGAACATAAGGTGGTACAAGGTCACCAGTGCCTTCCTCACTTTCTGGCTAGTAAGTGGCATTTGAATTTACTTCCAATCCTAATAAGCTAGGATTCGAATCCTGACCTGTGTGACTCCTAGGTTCACGTTCTTTCCACCACAGCCGAAGGCTTGGAGGCTGGGATATCCCAGTCTTCATGTGACTGAGGCCAGTGTGCGTCAAAGTTCACATGGATTCCCTGGGCATCTTCTTAAAATGCAAATTCTTATTTGGTGCGTCTGGGGAAAGAGCTGAAGCTCTGCGTTTCTAACGTGCTCCCAGGAAACGCTGATACTTCTGGTCAGGGGACCACACTTAGAGTAGCAAGGCCTTCAAAGATCCGGCCTCGTGGTATCTTGAAACCCAGGGACTGCCCCGAACCCCAGCCCACGTCCCAACCTGTGGTCACTTAAGGAAGGGACCTGGGGAGGGCCTCTTTCTCTTTCTGCCTCAACCCGTCACCTGTAGCCAGAGCAGGAGGTGGATGGCCCAGGGACAGAACTAACCTTTTATCCACTGGGAATAAAAGAGTGATGAGCAGCCTCCGCCTCCCCCGCTGATACCAGGGAGCGCGGGCTCCATGTGCAGAGGCAGGTGGGGGCAGGAGTCCACCTCGCTCCCCTCTCAGCAAAAGCCAGCGGGTGCCCTGGCCCGGAGCCACCTCAGCCCCACGGAAGGGGCGCCGTTTTCAGATTTCCTCAGAGCTGTCATGCGGGTCAGCAGGAGCCCTGCGCTGCCCTTGCAGGTCTGCCCTTGCAGGTCTGCCCTTGCCCGTGGCCGCGGGGTGGATCTGGCAACAAAGTGCCCCCTGACTGTGAGTGAGCATCGCCTCTCGAGCAGCGCTTTGGGATGGTGTAGTCGCTTGTGTCTAAGGACCACACCTGAAAAGGCCAGCGGAGCCAGGTGATCCTTTTCATCCACTGCTTGTTGGTTTTTAATAAAGAAGTGAAACGCGGTTTGTAGATTTCCCATTGGGGGACAATAAGCTTCTGTAGAGGCAGCCACTGAATTAGAACTAATAGTGAATGCGGCGCCAGGGTCCAGGGAAATGTCACCGCTGATAAGTTTCTGCCTCATGCTCTGTCACGGACATTCTCCGCGCCGTTCCGTGCAGCCGAGCAGAAGGCTTAAATAGATACATACGTGTATATATTTAAGGCACTTGTGCCCACACCAGGGATGCCCAGGCGTGCTGCTGGGGCATCAGACATGGGCTGGGGCCTCACACTGCCAGTTCTCTGAGGCTGGAGAGAGGGACAGGTCAGCGGGAACCAATGTTTGGTCCAGAGCCAGGGGCCAGAGGAGAGAAGAAGAGCATTCCTCCACCCACAGTCCCGGCACGATGGGATTCTCTGAAGTCCCACGGGGTGGGCGACCGGACACCAGGCCGCCTCCTTCTTCTTTAAATTTTGTTTAAATTCGTTTTACTGAAGTATAGTCGATTTACAAGGTTGCGGTCAGGCCGCCTCCTTCTTCAGACGTGCTCAGACAGAAGTGAGGGACTCGCTACAGGAACCTTCCTCTCAGGGGGCTCCCAGTGCTTGGGGGAGGGAGGCCCTGGGAGCCTGCATGGCGGAGAACTGACGCCTACAGGCTCCCCCGGGAGCTGCGACCCAGTCTGACCTCTGAGCTCCGTGCTGGGCTTTTGGGGAAAGGGGAGGAGGTGCTGAGTCAGGTGGGCCAGCGAGGCTTCCTCCAAGAGGGGAGCAGGGAGGAACTCTTGTGGAGTGACGGCAAAAAACAGTTGGTGAGGACGAGAGTCGTAAAGGGTAGGAAAGTCTCCTGACTGTGGAGCAGCTGCAGGTGCAGGAGGAGGCCGTGTCCCGGGCCCACCCTGCTGGCTCGGCCCGTAGACCCAGCGGCATCCCCTGGCCACTTGTGAGGGCTGGGCCAGAGGAGGGATTGCTCTAGAACCGCAGCTGGTTGTGGTGGGCTGGGTTTGCCCAGGCGGGTGGAGGAGCTGCTGTTCTTGTGTGTGTGCAGCAGGGTCTAGAATTCAGGCTCTGGGAGCCACCTGCCCCTGCCTGCCGCTGCATACTTCAGGACTGAGGTACTCCTTTCTCCCTTCGTTTCTAGAAGGCAGAAGACAGGAGGGTTCCTAGAACCTTCCACTGTCACCTTGGCAGAGCCAGATGGGAAGGTCCGAGTGTGGGTGCAAGAAAGGAGGGAGCTCGGAGTTCAGCCGAGAGACCGGCAGGGAGAACCAGGGGAGCTGGGAGTCCCAGCTGCTGTCTTCATTCTCCATCTCTCCGGCCATCACTGTCCCTTCCTGACCCCACATGTTTCCCCAAAGCCTATCCTGCCACCTTGAACTGTAGCCCAGCTGGGGGGCCACCTGGCCACCCTGTGACACCCCACCTGGCTCTGGTCATACATTGAGGCCGGAGCTCCTCCATGCCAGCCTGCGAATGCCTCCCTGGCTCCTGCAACGTGTCTCTCTTCTGTTCCAGGATGAGAACGACAACCCTCCCACCTTCAGCAAGCCCGCCTACTTTGTCTCCGTGGTGGAGAACATCATGGCAGGTACGGCCTGGGCTGGGGAGGCACGAAGGCGGGAGGCCAGCAGGCATGGCGCCGACGGCATGAAAACCTGACCTTGCACACGATCGCCAGAGGCCCGTGCCCTCCCTGTGTTTCCCAATGACAGGTGGAACCTCTGGAGATGTCCAGTTGTCTGCCAGCCCACAGTTCTTTACAGAGCACCTACTGTGTGCAGTTGCTCGGCTAGGCACTTGGTCCCTGCTCCCCTGCAGCTAGTTTTCCTGCAGGGAAGAGAATAATGACCAATGATTAATTCAGCAACCTTGGTTAAACAAGAGTATGCAGGGAGTTCTGAGTTTCCGGGGCTATGAGGCCGGTCCCAGGGCCCATAGTGGCCGAAGGGGTCACCTTGGAGGATGGCATGTGTTCCTAGGTGAGGAGGAGAATGGGAGGCTCCTCCCTGGGCTGTCTCAAGTGCCAGGGCCCAGCTTCCAGACCCAGGGCCACCAGCTCCACACTCAGGTTCCAGGGGACCTGCTGTGTCCTCAGGGCAGGCCGGAATCTTCACCCTTACACCCAGAGTGGACGTTCTGTGGGGGAAACTCTCCTATCAGGAATTGCTGCAGCAGCTGGAGGAATCAGGGATGGTGAAATCAGAGGTAACCTTCCCTGGCATCACAGGCCCTTCTAAAGAGAACCTTCAGGTACCTTCCTGGTATCTGATGATTTGCTGGGCAGGTGCCAGATTGTGCCCAGCCCACCTTTACCCATCCCAGTCTCAGGCATCCCCTGGAGAATATCACTCTGAAGCAGCCCCCTGCACTCCCCATCACCCCCAGAGCCTCTGACAAGGAGAGACCTTCATCGTGGCATTTAATCCTCTTCCAAGCTGAGTATGCTGGGATACAGGAGTGTGTCAGGGCAAAGGTACCTGTCCTGCTCAGGACAGGACTGAGAGTCAGATCAGAGGCCCCACGGCTACCTGGAGAGCCCCAGAATGACCTGACTGTCCACAGCCCCCTGCCTGGCCCCTCACGCCCCCTGGGACTATCGATTCATCAGCATAATAGTAACCACGGTCTGCAGTTCAGTGGGAGCTACCGCGGGCCAGGCCTGTGCCCCGCGTGTTTCATCCTTTGGGATCCTTGCCAACCCCACAAGTTGGGCTTTATAGTTAGACCCATTTAACAGAGGAAGAAGCTAAGGCTCAGACAAGGCAGTTGCCAGAGGTGCTACCAGACTCCAGCCTGGCTGTGGTGACTCTAGAAGGCCACACACTGCCCCTCCTCGCCACCCTGCCAGAGCTGGCAGCTGGGTGGCAGGCGGGGGCTGAGTGCCCTGGCAGGCACAGCTACAAGACACGCTGCCCTCAGAGTCTGGCCAGGCAGCTGGCAAGGCTGGCCCCCGACCCAGGATTTCACAGAGATGGAAATGAAGGAGAAAATAAAAACCCTGATAAGTTCTCCTTGTGATCAAGATAAAAGAAGACCAAAACTGAATACAGTAAATGTAGAGTAATTTAATATGGAGCTTCATTTCTTTTTGAGTCAAGGTCAAAGCTGGTCCCTCTGAGCATGTTTAATACGGTGACCAGGCAGGGAGGGATGGGGTGGGGCAGTGGCGCACTCTCTGAGGCCGGGCCAGGACTGAGTCGGGGACCGGGACGGAGGCGAAGGACTGGATCCATCCCAGGCTCCACCCACTCCCATGGAGCCTCGTCCCCGCACAGCCCAGGAACCTGGGCCCTGGGAACAGGCGCTTGAGCCCACTGTCATCCCTGGGTCTCCTCAGCGGCAGGCTTCCTACCTCCTGAGGGCTCCTTCCCCTTGGGCCTGTGCTCCCGTCCTGCCCCCGGAGCCCGGGGCTGTGAGCCCCCGGTGAGCAGCACCCCACTCCTTTTGTCTCCCGGAAGGAGCCACGGTGCTGTTCCTGAACGCCACGGACCTGGACCGCTCCCGGGAGTACGGGCAGGAGTCCATCATCTACTCCTTGGAGGGCTCCTTCCAGTTTCGGATCAGCGCCCGCTCAGGTGAGCCCCCTGTGGCCCTCGTCCTCTGCACCTCAGGCTGACGCTCTGTCCTCTGCCCGGGGACCGGCCTCTGGGCCAGCGTCTTCTCCCTTTCACAGGAGGCCCGTGTTTCTGAGCAAGTCGGCTTTGAGCACCTGGTTTTATCCCTGAGATACGCATTTGTGTGAGATTACTGAGCTTACCCCCCACACAGCAACATTCATCCATTCACCAGAGAATGTCTTTCAGTGATGAAGAGCCCTGTCATGTTTAAAATGTGTTCCATTTTACCCGTATCTGGCTAACCCACTGCTCTTCAGGGACACCCTTCTGCAAGCCTAAGTGTCTCCCTCCTCACCTGCAGACCTCATTCTTGAATCCTGGCTCCTCTTCCTAACATGGTGTGTGCCTCAGTTCCCCACCTACAGAGGATGCGCAGATCGGGGCTGTTGTGGGAATTCAGTGAGTCATTATAGAGAACTCAGAGGAGACTCTGGCACGTAGTAAGTGCTAACAAAGCTAGGTTATTATCATTATTTTCTTTGGTCTTTTCACCCTGGGGACCCCATCCCCAGCTCCCTGCTCAGCCTGTGTAACTCTCCTTTCTTTCTCATTTCTCCATATGCCTCCCTCTAGCTTTCTCTCCTCCTTGAGGCAGGGAGGGAAGAGGCGCAGAAAAAAGCAATAAGAGAACCCAGCCTTCTAAAAGAAGCTGGGAAGGAATGGGAGGCCCCCGATATTCATTCATACCTTCAGTCAGCTATCAGTGGGGGCCTGTTCCCCTCCAGGTGCTATGCTGGGGAACAGGATGGAGTAAGACATGGCGTCACCCTCACGGGGTTCCAAGTCAGCTTAGTGGGCATGCAAGGCTCCCCACTTCCAAGTACCCACTTGTGTATTGGGTAAGGGAACTTGTAGATGCCAAACAGGCAAACCCTGAAACCTCAGTGGCTTAGCACAATAGAAATTCTAACTTACACAGCAGTCCAGTGCTGTGTTCAGGGTACAGTCTTCCACATGATGATTCTGGGACCCAGGCCCCTTCCATGTTGTGGCTCCAAGGTCACTGCAGAAAGGAAAAGGGAATATGGGGTCTTGTGCAAGGAGATGTTTATGGGTCAGGCCTGGAGGTAACATACATCACTTGTGCCCACATCCTGTTGGCCAGAACCAAGCAATGGCCCCACCTAGATGCAAGGAAGGCTTGGGGAACATCATAGTCCCTGGCCTGGCAGCCCCTCCCCAGCAATCATTCTGGCCTGGGAGGGGAGCAGGAATCTCTGACGAACACTGGCCATCCCTGCCACAGGTGATCGGTGGCCCAGCAGGGCATCGAGTCTTCCTGTTATTCATGCCTCCCTGCTCAAAGTCTGCCTGCAATCTCTCTCTCATCCCCCTTTCCTGGAAGCTTGGGGAGCAGGTGGCTGGTCCTGACGTGTACAAAGACTGAACACACCCAGGGCTATCCTGAGCCTCCCTTTCCACCTCTGACAAAACAGGTGCCTCCCTCCCTGCTCTCAGGAGCCTCCACCCTCAGCAAGCCAACGTTTCTAGGGAGCTCAGAGGAATAGCGTTAACGAATATTAACTGCGTGCTCAGCACTGTTCTAAGTGCTCTGACCAGCATCACCGCCGCTCTGAGGCAGGTACTGGCCTCACAGCATCCCCATTTTCCATACAAGGAAACTGAAGCATAGGAGAGGTTAAAGTCACTTGACTGAGGACTCGCGGAGCCTGAACTTCCAACTCCAGAGCCCACACTTTCAACGCTCCATTCTATAAAGCTGTGGAGAGCCGCGTGCCACCCCCAGATACAGTGGCGGGCACACTGACCTTTCAGCACCTACCCAGCCTTCCCAGCCAGGGACTCCATCTCCACCCCGGGGCCTTTAATAATGATATGGACATTTTCTTGCTGCCTTAACACGGCTCCTTCAGCTCCAAAGGTGTAAGCGTTTTCCTCTGAGCACCTTGGTCAAATTAGCCAGGCCTGCTCCACAAAGGTGGCCTTAATTGGATCTAATTTCCCAGACAGGAGGAGCCATCTATCATGCCAACAAGTTCATGTTTAAAACTTTTTAGAGCTTAATTTCTTTTTTTTTTTTTTTTTTTTTTTTGGGGGACCCGGCCCTCTCTTTGTTGTGGCCTCTCCCGTTGCGGGGCACAGGCTCTGGACGCGCAGGCTCAGCGGCCATGGCTCACGGGCCCAGCCGCTCCGCGGCACGTGGGATCCTCCCGGACCGGGGCGCGAACCCGCGTCCCCCGCATCGGCAGGTGGACTCCCAACCACTGCGCCACCAGGGAAGCCCTTAGAGCTTAATTTCTTCCTCACGCTGCCGATTAACTGACACCACCGCAGCAAGGAGCGTGGCTCTGTGGGCAGACCTTTGTCAGGCTTTTGTTCCTGGCTTTAGCACCACCCCCAGCTCCCTTCTCAACCCTGCACAGGCCAGAGACAGGCCAGCATGGCAGGAAGGGAAATTTGAGAGTGAAAGAGTCCTAGGGACCACTGGCCCCACTCCCTTATTTTATAGTAGAATAAATCAAGCACAAAGAATTTAAGTAACCTGCCCCAGGTCACGCAGCTCAGGCAAGGGGGATAGCACACAGTCCGTGCCCTTGGAGAGCCCTCACTGTCCTTTGGAAGGAAATGAGCATTTTCTGAGTGTTGGGAACTTCACCCAGAGTTATTTAATCCTTCCAAAGCTCTAACTTGAAAGCATCCTAATCTCTCTTTTACACGTGAGAAAACTGAGGCTCAAAGATATTAAGTGACTTTTCCAAGGCCAAGCATCTGGAAAGGGCCATAATCAGAATTCAGATCTGGGCTTCACTGTCCTCAAAGCATCGGCTCTTTCCCGTGGCCCACGTGCGATGGTAGATGACCTGGCTACTGTACTGTACTGAAGCTGGCTTGTGCTGGCTCACACCTGCTCACGAGAGCCAACTGTATACATCTCTTCCCAACTCCAGGTTCAATGCCATCAAGTGGGCAGCTGAAAATGGGCCCTGGGGGCTTCCCTGGTGGCGCAGTGGTTGAGAGTCCGCCTGCCGATGCAGGGGACACGGGTTCGTGCCCCGGTCCGGGAAGATCCCACGTGCCGCGGAGCGGCTGGGCCCGTGAGCCGTGGCCGCTGAGCCTGCGCGTCCGGAGCCTGTGCTCCGCAACGGGAGAGGCCACAACAGTGAGAGGCCCGCGTACCGCAAAAAAAAAAAAAAAAAAAAAAAAAAGGCCCTGGTGGGAATATTTATAACTATGGAAATCAGCAAATACCATTTTTTTTCCTTTGGGGAGCCAGTTGTCAAACCACTGCCAGATGACTTCCACACTTTAATTACACCAATATACAAAGAAAAGCCCAAAACAGGCTGACAAAGATTATGGTCTATTTTAAATGTTTATATTTAATAGAATAACTTGTTTATACACTAAAGAAAATTCAAGGCATTATAATTATGTCGCGTACAAGGTAATTAAGGAAATTATTTTATAACTTAAATCTCAGTGCGCTGTAGGTTGAGCCATCTAGAATGAGCCGCAAGTTGGAACATGCGTGAAGCACTTGGTGTGTTTCAGTCCTGTTGCTGTATTTCTGTGACCATGTGAATAAATAGTGCCAGGTGCCGCTCTAAGCTTTAGAACTAAATTAGGTGAATTAATCCCATAACAGCCCTATGAGGTAGGCCCTATTATTGTTCCTTTTTAACCAGATGAGGAAACTGAAGCACAGGGAATTTAAGTAATTAGTTCCAGTTGATAAAGCCAGTGAGGTAGTAGCAGTCTAAGTGAGAGGTCCTTTGTGAGTGAGCTTGAGGCCAAATGTCCCTCCTGCCCTGTTCTCCAGCCCCTAACTCCATAATCAACCTAGGTTTTCCCACATCTGAAAATATGTCCTCCCCACGCGGTTATACTGCCCAGCTCTGGGATTCGGGTTCCCAAGGCATAGGTGCTATGCCCTCTGCCCTGTGAGCACCATCTCACCACCCCCCATGCACACCTGTACATTCACACATGTGCAGCGAGGTCACTGGATCTTGCAAGCGTCTCTCTTTTGCACACTTGCTCTTTCCCTCCTTCCCCAATCCCTCCCTGGCCCACCCAAACCCTCTCTCACGCACCCCTCTCTCCTGCAGGTGAAATTACCACCACCACCCTGCTGGACCGTGAAACCAAGTCTGAGTACATCCTCATCGTACGGGCAGTGGACGGGGGCGTGGGCCACAACCAGAAAACCGGCATCGCCACTGTGAGTGCCTGGCCCTCCCCTGCCCCCAGCTCCCCACCCGCCAGCCAGGCTGCTGCCCCCAGCTCATCTTCAGCTTGCACCACTTAGGCCCCTGGGTGCTTGTGTCCTGAGGCAGTGTGAGGCCTTGTGGGAGTGGAGGGAGGGTAGCAGGTACCAATTCATTGTCAGCCAAGGTCAGCCCTGGGGCCTCCACAGCTATGGGAAGAAAGACATTCCCAGGAATTCCCTGGCGGTCCAGTAGTTAGGACGCCGTGCTTCCACTGCAGGGGGCACGGGTTTGATCCCTGGTGAGGAAAAATCCTGCAAGCCACACAGTGCGGCCAAAAAAAAAAAAAAGGCATTCCCACCTGGGACATGGGGGCATTCCGGAGGAGCAAATACTCTCTCTCCTGCCTCCAAAGACCAGCTGGGAAGAGGCATGAGCCCCATAGTTCCCTCCCTGCCTTGGCACCTGCCAAGAAGCTGGGACAGGTATTCCTCTCAGAAGAGTGCCTCAGAGCGGGAAGCAGGGCCCTGGAGGGTTTCCGGGAGCCTGTTACCACCCCACCCCTACATTTGCAGCCTAGGTTTGCAAGAGATGATGAGAAATGATGCCTAGGTTTCCCTGCCATGAGCAAGTAGGACCCAGGAAGGCCCAGAGCCCCATCCAAGGCCTTGGTGCCTCTGAGAGTAGGAAGCTAGAGGAAAGCCATTTGAGGATCCTGACTGAGCTCTTAGCTGCAGAAGAGGGTGGGGGAGTGAGACACTCCCTCTGTGGGAGAGCAAACAGGAAGAGTAGCTGACAGGTCCCTTCCTTATCCTCATTTGCTCTCCACCTGGAGCCCTCTCCTGACCTCTCCTTTAGTCTTCATCCCCCCCACAGCAGCTACCCGCATCCTGACCCAGCCAGAGGAGCTGGGGTGCTGTCACTCGGCCGGGCACTTGGCTGAAAACCCCCAGCGCCCTATTCAGTCATGGGAGGCCCCTGCTAATAGGACTCAGAGCTCTATAAATAATTTACCTGGGTGGCAGGTGAGCAGGGGAGGAGCTCTAGGGATTCTATCAGGTTCCCCGCCCCAAACCTCCCGCATGCTGTCGGTCACCTTCAGCCAAGACTAGGGGTGGACAGAACAAGTCCCAAGTCACAGGAACGATCTCAGGGGTCATCTCATCCATTCCTCTGCCTCGGGACAGCACCTAAACCCCCTGAAGGGTCTTGGCTCCCTCCTGTCCTTGAAAGCCCAGGCCCTGCCCCGAGGCCCCCAAAGCGGGTGGACCTGGTGGAGTTAATGCCAAGGTGCCCCATAGGCATCTGAGTGTGTCCCCCAGCGTGGGCACTGTCCTCACACAACTCAGCTAGGCGCGTCCCACAGCGCCCCTTGTGGCTTTGCAGGTGAACATCACCCTCCTGGACATCAACGACAACCCCCCCAGATGGAAGGACGCTCCCTACTACATCAACCTGGTGGAGATGACTCCTCCGGACTCTGACGTGACCACGGTAAGTGGCGGTGGGAGGCAGAGCTGCTAGGCGGCCCTTCGCGGGGTGTCTGCCATTCCCACGTGAGCCCTAAGGACCTGCCAGTGTGGTGCTGATGGACTTAATGTTTCCCTCGGAGCCAGCTCTAGGAGCCGAGTTCCAGAAGCTCTCTTACATGGTGAAAGGTAGTCAGAGGTTGGGGGAAAGCCCTCACACAGTCCTCAGTGACAGCGGACTCCAGGCTTTGTCAAAAGGAGCACAGGCAGCCCAAGGACAGTGCCAGAGGAGCTAGGGCTGGTTCAGCTCGTAGCCACCCTTAGGACTGAGACCCTAGGACTCTGGCCACCCCCTCAGGAGAGCCCCCAACCTCCCGTCCCCCGCTCAGATCGCGCAAGCTTCAGCTCTGCCCTCAGAGCCTTCCTTCACCACTTCCATCACTGCAGCCATCGGCCTGGGTCAGCTGGCCCAGGGCTGCCCCAGCAAGGGGTTCAGAGTTCAGGGACTTTCTGGCACGGGATGTTCCAGGTTTTCACAGGCTCCTGTGTGTGCTGCGTGCAGGGAATGTGACTCAGGGGAGGGGAGGGGAGACACAGCCAAAAACCTCAGGGCGTCCAGAAGGGAGAGCAGAGTCCTGAGGAAGCTGAGCAAAGCCAGGCCTGAGCACCCCACTCGATCCGCTCTGCTCTGGGATTCACATTTGTGAGGCTTTCTTTTCGCCCTCATATTGTGCCCCGTTTGGCCTCATTCAGGGAGGCTTCTCCCCAGATGTCCGGCCCCACAGACGCCAGCCAGCCCTGTGATAGACATGAACCTGACAGATTACGGCAACCCAGCTGGGACATGCCAGATGCTGTGCATGTGTGGTCCCACGTGGCAGATGGATTCCTTGCTTCCGCTGTATGATGGAGAAAATGGAGAGTTAGCGTTTGAGGGGTTTGCCCAAGGTCGCAGAGCTAGTAAGATAGTAAGAGACAGTGTCAGGACTGAAACCCAGGTCCCACCTGGCCTTTATCCCTCTGTTGGCTCAGCGGTGCTCTGACAGGTGGCCCAGGTCCCGAAAAACTGGAGAACTCAGGTGGGATGAGAGAAGGGATGGTAACTTTCATATCCAGCTCTCCAGGAAGGCTGCCCCACACTGAGTGCAAGCAGCCTTGGGGTGGTGGTGCCTAGCCTCCCTGCCCCACACCACATCAACCACAGCCGGTAGTGACAAGGTCCACCTGGTCTAGATGGGAGAGGATGTCAGCCTGGAAGGAAGGACAGAGAGAGAGAGAGGGAGAGAGAGATGGCCATCACGTCTGTCCTGTCTTCCTTTGTACAAGTTCAGGATCCGAATGACTCTCGACTTGTGGGCGGGTCCCCCTTGCAAGGATTCCTGTAGGGTGGGGGTGGGGGCCGGGGTAGGGATCTGGAATCTGTGTTTTCTCAAAGCCCCAGACTGGGAGCGTCCTTCCAGCTCAGAGCCAGATTTGGCAACCGCTCCCCTAGGCCCTTTCCTCCGTGCTCTCTAGGCTACGGATCCGATGGGCGCTCTCTGCTGCCACCTCATGTACACTAGGGGTCTAGACTAGGACAACCCCAGCCAGAGACCCCAAGAGCTGGGGCAGAATATTCACCTGTGAACATCTGTCTGGTCAGCTCTTACCTTTGCTTTACGTGACTGAGAAATTCCTCCCAGAGGGAACTGAGGAGAGAATGTGGCTGCGTGGAACAGCAACCAGGGGTGCCATTATTAGAGAGTCCACCTGCCAGGCAAAAAGTAGTTCGGCCCGGCCGGGACTGCACTTGGCCTTGGGCAGTTCCCAGATCAGGTCCCCGGTAGCCTTCTCCGGGTCGCCAGCCTCTCCTCACATCCTCTGAGCCGTGAGCAGGTAAGGACGGTGGGCCAGGGGCCTGCTGCCCAGTGCCCCCTCACTCTCCAGGAAACCTCCACAAACCTTCAGGGAGCACCTACTGTGGGTCAGACCCTGTGCTTGGCAGGAGTACGGGAAGCAGCAAGTTTCCTCTCCACCTTCAGGGAGCTTGGTGTCACTCCTAGGCTCAAACCCACCACTGGTTCCCACCTTAACCCTGTGTAAAAGCCAGAGTCCTTACTGGACCCACCCGGCCCACAGGATCTGCCCCACCTTAACTCTGGGGAGATGGACGTGTGTGTCCACCCCTCAGTGTAGAGTGGACGTGGCCGTTCCTCCCCCAGCTTGGGGCAGCCACAGGGATGGGGGACTTCAGCTTTTCCGTGACTCACGGTAGTGTTTGAGCCCTGAAAAAAAAAAAATGTTAATGACTCAGAAATTCAAAAAGAAAAGCGCAGAATCAGAATTAAAGCTTGTTATATTAAACGTCTGCCAAACATGTTGTGACAACCTTAGAAATGACGCCATTTAATGTCTGTAAAAATTTCATTGCATGTGAGGACAAATTGTGGGTTTGATTTTCTGGAATCCCCAGTTACGTGTGATGATTGCTAGGATGGCAGAAATGAAGCCCACATTAACTGAGCTTGTCATAGCAAAATAATTTCAAAAGGAATAGTCATAAAAATTCGTTCAGATTTTATAGCCGTGAAACGTATGTACGCATATATACACGGGTACATTGTAATACCTCTGAGGGGGCCCCCTGGGGCCTTCTAAGGCCTCACGACGGCCCTGGGTGACGTAGGGGTTGTGGCTGAGGTGTGAGAAAAGTGGGCTTCAGGCAGGAAACAGCTAACCCAGAGGTGACATCAAGGGGGAGGTGATATTTGAACAGAAACCGGCCTACCTGCTGACTCATCTCCCACCCCCCTTCTCAGAGCCACCGTGCGCGCGCGCGCGCACGCACGCACACACACACACACACACACACACACGCACGCACGCACGCACGCACACACACACACACACACACACGCCTTTCAGTTTCCTAAACCTGCTGAACTCTTTCCCGCCTTGGAGCCTCTGCGCAAGCTCTTCCTGCCCCCGCAGGGTGCCCTTCTTCCTCTACTCCCCACCCCTGCTCTTCCCATGGCTGGCTCATTCTCCTCCATCTGCCCCAGCTCAAAATGCCACCTCTCTACACTCCGTTTCTTTCAGAGCTGGCCACACAATCCGTGTTTATCTGTTAGTTAGGTTGCTTGCTTATTAAGAGGCAGTATAGCTCAGTGATTAAGTGGGCGCCTCTGGTACCAAAATGTCTGGGCTCTAATTCCAGCCATACTACTTACCAGCTGTGTGACCTTGGGCAAGTTACTTAACCTCTCTGTGCTCCCACTTTCTCAAGTAGAAAACGGGGATAAAGTCTTCACTTGGTAGAGTTGTAGTCATACTTAATGAGCCAAAATACACAAAGTACCCCGGCACACGGCGAGTGGTCAGCAAATGACAGCTGTTGTCGCCATCAGCTGCCCCCGCTGCTGGAATCACATCTGTCTTGTTCAGTGTTGAGCCCCAGTGCCTAGCACAGTGCCAGGCACATTGTAAGCGCTCAGTATTTGTGAATGAGAGCTGTTGATGAACTTGTTCGCCTTTCATCCCCACCCTACCTGGCTCTCCACTCCACCAGGTGGGGTCGAGTCTTCCTTGTCAGAGGGAGACTAGGGTGTGTGACCAAGGGCCCCTCTAGAGGGAGCCCTGGCCACTGCCCCTGGTGTCTGAAGTGCAGGGTGAGTCCAGTGATTTTTTTCAGAGCTGTGTGCAGACGATCGTGTGCCATGTTCGTGTGCACCGGGAGCTGACCAGGGAGGTGTCTGTGTGCACGTGTGCACCGCAGGCGTCCAACCCGCACGGGCGCGAGCTTGCAGAGTGGCCGTTCTCTGTTTGCAAGTGAGATTTTGGCCCAACTCTCCCTCCCCGCTCCTGCAGCCTCCTTCCAGGACCTGGCTGATAGGCATTGATTTAGAGCCTTTCAGAGCCCTCCAGCAAAATAAAGGAGAGGGGAGAGGGAGAGAATTCTTCCCCGTCAGGCCAGGAGAAAAATGACGAGCATGAAATGGGAAATAATGAGGGGAAAGTGGTGAGATTCTATACAATCGCCCAGCAGGGAGCTTGCAGGAGGGGTCCCAGCCCACTGCCTTCTCCTGTGCCCCCATGCCATGACCAGGGAGTGGGCCAAGGGGCCAAGAGTCAGTGCCCACCCCCAACCATGGTCACTTGGAAGCAGCTGCCCAAGGTACCCCCACCCCAGCACTCAGGGGTAGTGGAAGGTATCTCAGCACATTCAGCAACAGGCTGCTGCCCTGGAACGGGTGGTTTAACTGCTCTGTACCTCAGTTTCCCTATCCAGAGAAATGGGAATAAAAACTATCTCCCTCCTCTAACTTGAGAGGAGCATTGTAGAAACACAGGGCTTGCTGGTCTCCTCTGTCCATCAGTGGGATGACTTTGCCTGGCTGAAATGATACCAGGAGAGCCTTGTCCCCTGCTGTCGATACAGGGGTGATGGGGTCCCCATTATAGAGGCGGGGAAACTGAGCACCATGCCCACAGCACAGTGAGGGCTGCTTAGGCCTGGAAGGCTGGGGCCTCCCCCATCCCCATTGGCACAGCAAGGCTGGGAAGGGAGGAGATGGGCTGAGCCGCTGGGGTGGGACTAGAGCCATGTCCCACTCTCTGAAGCAGAAGAGGGGCCCAGAGTGGCTCGGAGTTCAGCGCCAACATTGGCCTCTCTCCCTGACCTCCCTGGGGCCCAGGGGCAGATGGGCACCCTGAGCAGGTGAACCATCTGTCTGTTCTGGTCTAATGGCCCCTGAGACACCGCGGGCTGAGGATTAAGCCAGAGGAGGGACAGATTCTGCCGCCAAAGCACAAAAGACCCCACATCAAGTAAGATGAAGGAGCTGACACGGCCAGGCTGTCATCGCCACGTGTTCTGGAGTTAAGAATGACACCGTCCTGATGCGGCCCCTGGGACTGCGGTCACCACCCGCCATTGATCTTGTCCCCCTCTGGTGCCGCAGTGGCCCCTGCAGCCAGGGTTGGGGGTGAGCGGAGGGGTGGGTGCCACTGCTGTCCGGGGTGGGAACTGAGTCAGCTCCGAGGCTGGTGTTGTCTGACACTGAGGCTGGCCCAGGGCTCTGAGCTCTGCTTTCCCCTTGTGGGCGGTGGATGGTAGAGAAGGTCCTACAGGGCAGGGGATTGGTGGGCGTGAGGACCTGGGAGAGAATGCGCTGCAGGGTTTGTTGCTCTGGGTTAGGTCAGCAGTGAGGCTGATCCCTTCATGGGGAGGGGCTGGAAAGTTAAAGGGGCCAGAGTGTCTGGGGCCCCTGTCCTGAGACCCTCCCCCTTCTCGAGGATGGCGTTCCCCTTCAGGGAAACTCAGGCCTCTCCCTCCTCCAGCCTCCCCTATCCCCAGCCCCATGACTGGCCCACCCTCCAGACCAGGGGACCTATCCATGGCTCCCTTCCCATGCCCTGTCATCCCTGGTGTCCCAAGAGGCCCAGTTCTTTTCAAATTGCCTCACAATCTACAGCTCCAGAGGAAAGAAGAGAGGGTTTGATGAGGAACCCAGTTCCCAAAATCTGTGGTTTCAAAGCCTTTCAAAAGATCAGCCAAGGCTTTGGACTCCCCAACCCTTCCCAGCCCCCACCCTGAAGAGTTCCGTGGTCGTGAGCTACAGGGACTCCTCCCCCAAAAGCTCCATGAACACGTTACCCCACGTGTCTGAAAAGGAAGGATGCTGGCGGTGTTTCCTGCCGGAGGGACCTAGAGCCGCTTCCTGGCTGGGAGACTTTGGGAGACTCACCGTGCCTCATCTGTGAAATGGGCTTCATTATAGGTGTCCTCCTCGTAAGACTGTTGACACAGCAGGTGGAGAAGGCCTGGTGTCTATGAGGTTCGGGGAGCCTCCTATATGCTATCGGGTGCTAAGTGTGGCTTTTACAGATCAGAAGCCGAGGCTTGAGTGGGGAAGGGGACTTACCTAAAGTCAGAACGGCGGATGGAGAAGCCAGGAAGCCCAGGACTTCCAGTGCTTGTTCATCTTCTGACCTCCTTCCTCCCCACCCCCAGAGATCCCCCTGCTGAAGCCAGGAGGGAGACCCACCTCCCAAGTTTGAGCGAGGATACCTCCTGCTCCTGGGCCCGGTGTGTGAGCTCAGACAACCCGGGCGGGCAGCCCGGGCCACAGAGACCCCCTCCCTGGCCTGGACTCAGTGGAGGGGTCGGTTCCTCCCGGGCAGGTGGTGGCCATTGACCCAGACCTGGGGGAGAACGGCACTCTGGTGTACAGCATCCAGCCACCCAACAAGTTCTACCACATCAGCAGCAGCACAGGCAAGATCCGCACCACGCACATCATGCTGGACCGGGAGAACCCCGACCCCCACGAGGCGGAGCTGATGCGCAAGATCATCGTCTCCGTCACAGACTGTACGTGCCCCTCCCGCCCGGGCTGGGGACTTCCCCCCGTGGCATGTCCTCTGGGCATCCTGGGACCTACCCAGGAGGGCTGTGTCTTGATGACTAAGAGTGGAGTGACACCCACTTCCCAGTTGTGACCCAGCCCTCGCAGAGGGCAGAGGGAGCTGGGGGTGCAAGGCCCAGGCTGCTTCGTGAAGGGGCCCCTGGGATGGAGGGCCACTGAATCGCCTTTCTCCACCCCCCTTCTTCTCCTGCACCCCTCTTTCCCTCTCCTGTCCCCCCTTCTTCTCCTGCACCCCTCTTTCCCTCTCCTGTCCCCTAGGTGGCACACCCCCTCTGAGCGCCACCAGCAGTGCCACGGTGTTTGTGAACCTCTTGGACCTCAATGACAATGACCCCACCTTTCAGAACCTGCCTTTTGTGGCCGAGGTGCTTGAAGGCACCCCTGCGGGGGTCTCCGTCTACCAGGTGAGTTTCCCTTTCCTGGCCCGGGAGCCTGCTCTCTGTCATCTCCCTCACCAGCCAGCCAGCAAGGGAGCAGTGGGTGCTGTGTGCCCAGCCTTGTGACGGACACTTGGCAGGGGCGGGACAGGGGAGGCCAGCCCGAGACCATCAGATGGGACACACTCCACACCAGACTTGGAGAGCCAGTGCTCTGAGGGATGGAAGTGGAAGGCTTCCTGGAGGAGGAGGGGCTTGAGCTGGGTCTGGAAAGGAAAGCACCACAGGAGATGGCTAAAGGCAGAGGGAGGGAGGGGGACAAAGACTAGAATTCTAGGAAGCCAAATCAGTTTCTCAGGGCCCGATTGTGGAGGGCTAGCCCAAGACCCTCAGCACTTCAAGCCTATAGGTGGCTCTAGAACACGAAGAAGGTCAGACGAGTGCAGCCCAGGCATCCCGCCTCCATGGGCAGCCCCCTCTCTCCTATGCTCTCCTGTAAACCCCAAGGCAGTGCCACACAGTGGGTGGATTCCCCCACTTTTCAGGAGACTTACAGAGACTTTCCCAAGTCCCTGTAGCCGAGAAGGGGTAGGGCCTGATCTCGAACCTGGGTCCTCTGCCTCCCGCTTCATCACCCTTCTGGTCAGGGAGGCCCTGAAGGTCCAGGTTGAGGGGAGGAGATGCCCTAACAGGGGCTATTTAGAAACACTGGAAAGCCCTCAAAGTTGAGATGGGCTTTGGAGTACGACCAAGATGGGTGTGGGTCCCAACTCCACCACCTGTGTGCTGGGTGACTTGGAGTACACTATTTAACCTCTCTGGGCCTCAATTTTCTCACCTGTGAAATGGGGATCAGAAGAGTACCTGGCTGGCTGTGCTGTGGGGATTCGATCAGACACCTGTGTAAGCCACCTGGCGCTTGGATTGCAGGAGATACACAGTAGCCGATGTGCTCGTGATTTATGTGTCTGTCGTGAGGGTTTATACCCTAGAGACAGCGGGAGCCCATGGCACAGGGTTAGCCTGATCCCATTTGCTAAGGATGCGGGGATGGTTAACCTTGGCCATGCCCTGCAGGCCCACTGTGCTTCAGTTTCTTCGTCTGTAAAAGGAGATTAAGGATCCAGGGAGCATTCACTCTCTCCAACAGAACATTCTCCCCAAACCCCCAGCAGGGGGAGCTGTGATCCAGGGAACAGCAGCCAGTCCCTGAGAAGTTCCCCAAATAGGAGGGAGGTTGGCGAGAGAGCCGATGAGCCCCGAGACCTGGTTCTCCAGGGCTCAGAGACAGCAGAGGAAGGAAATGCCCACCAGCACAGCTTCTGAGTTCACAGAGGAACTGTCTCAGAGTCATGAGAAGATGATGGGAGGAGCTGGGAGCATTTAACTGGGAAACTGTCTTCAGATACAGAAAGAGGGCTCTGACCCAAGCTCAGCGGTTCCCCAGGTGCCCTCTACAACCTCAACCAATAATGATTTCTGCTGAATGTGCAGAAGAACTTTCCCCAGGGATTAGAGCTGTGTGCAGACAAATTGCAAGTAGTGAGCCCCCCGTCATGGAAAGCATTCAAGCTGAGTCTGGATACCCTCTTATCCAACTTGTTGGATGTAAATTAGAGCAGATGACTTTGACATTGTCTTTCAATCCTGAGAGTCTTGGCTTGATCCAAAGCTCTTATTTTAACTATTATTGTACATTTTTTCTCAAATGTCTTGAATCGTCTTCTGTAAAACTTTCAACATATCAGGGTCTTGAGTCAGGAGCTCTCATCAGGACTAGAGGTGCAAATGGGAACAGTGTAGGGATTGGAAGGAGGTTTGCCTACACATGGCCTCGAATGGCCTGTTTAAAATAATAATCAAATCCTCAAGTGACTTTTAAAAACAAGTTCTTGATATCATCTTATTTTTGTTGTCTTACAAATGAAAACAAAGCAGGGAAGGGAGTCCTTTTGGTCAAACGTTCTGTGTAGTTGAGCTCCATGTAGTTGAAGGGGTCTGAGCTGTTAACAGCTGCTCCTAGCCAGCAGCACGAGGGCCGGGGGTGAGGGAGACGGCCGAGTTTGGAGGGTCCCGAGCCAGCTGGGGTGAGCCTGGGAGGGCTTCCTAATGAGGAGAGCAGGGTTTTGAAGGGGGGACGGCTGTGGACCTGGACTCTTGTTCTGAAAAGCCCCTTTCCCGCGCCACCCCACTCCCGGCCGCACTTGTTACATCTGGATACCTTTCAGCTCTGACGTGCTGCCCCCTTAAAGAGCATCTGGGAGGCTGCGCTGGGGACAGTGGCCTGGCCTGAGGCTCTGGGTTGTGGTGGGGGCAGGTGTGTCTGCTGGAGCCAGGCGTGGGTCAGCGGGAAGGAGGGAGTACTTCTCAGGGGATGAGCGTCAGTGCTGGTGTCCTCACCCCTCACGCGGCCCCTCCTCTCCCTCAGGTGGTGGCCATCGACCTGGACGAGGGCCTGAACGGGCTGGTGTCCTACCGCATGCCTGTGGGCATGCCCCGCATGGACTTCCTCATCAACAGCAGCAGCGGCGTGGTGGTCACCACCGCCGAGCTGGACCGCGAGCGCATCGCCGAGTACCAGCTGCGCGTGGTGGCCAGCGACGCGGGCGCACCCCCCAAGACCTCCACCAGCACGCTAACCATCCGAGGTGAGGGGGCAGGGGTGCCTCCTGCTGCACTGAGCACATGGCACGGGCCCTGGGGCAGTGGCAGGCGGCTGGGAGCCCACGCTCACCACTGCTGTCCCCTGTCCAGGCGGCACAGGCTACCTTGCCGATGGGCGCCCTCTTCAGCTGGAGCCATTCGACACAGCAGAGCCCTCTCTGTCTCCACTAAGTCAGAAATGCCGGCAGGGCCTTCTTCCCACCTGGTCACTGCCTTCAGGGTCCCAGAGCCCAGGGGCAGTGGCCTGGACCCACTGCTAAGGTCTCCCTTTTTGATCCTGGCAGCAGCAGAGAGGGCTTGCTCAGGGGGTGGCGTCCTCGGATTCACGAGCAGGCAGGGGAGGTTCAAAACCCTTTGTCCTCGTCTTTGGAGGGACAGACTTTCTATTTGGAGATGTAAAGGGAAGCCTCCCCTCCCGCGTGTGGGGAATGCCTGGAATCACGGTGGAAGGGCGTCACCCCCGGAAGAGGGCAGCTGGGATTCCCAGGCTCCCTAGGATTCCTCATCTTCCTGGGGCCCTCTCGGTAATTCCCACCGTCTCCACCCTCTATCAGGGCGGGGCCAGGCCAAGGAGGGTTGACTATTGCTCATCTACTCTGGCTGTATCTTTAATTCTTAAGACAAAACTGGGACGTGGACATGAGCTGTTGACAGAGGGCCAGGAGTAACCCCAGGGAAGCAAGTTCAGAGTGTAATGGGCAGGATGTGGCCTGTTCTCTAGGACAGGCCTGGTCCCATCCTGGGTCCTGCCAGCCTCCGTGGGATGGGGGCTGGGTGGTGGTTGGCTCGGCACAAACATTCACCCTCCTTAAGCACGACCCAAGATGATGACGACTAGAGAGCCAAGTGTTCTCTCTCTGCTGGTCCAAGGCTTGTGGGCTCCTGGTGCCAGTGTGAGGACCCACATCTGTGCCCGTGATTGGCAGGGCAGGTGTCCAGTCCTCTCAGAGAGGACCCCAGCTTTTTTTCCCAAGGCTCAGCAGAAGCCGTGTCATCAGATGAGCCTATCGTTTCTCCTGACGTTATCACAGAGAGGAGCCGGAGTGGCGCGGGGCTCATTTCCCTGAAGGTCATCCCAAGCTCCATCTGCCCGAGGAATGGGGGCCTGGCATGCAGAGCTGAAAACACAGATCTATAAGGGAGATTAGACTTTTTTGGCTGGGACGTGGAAGGAAGGCTAGCTTTCAAAGCCAGCTACTTTCCCTGGGACAAACTGGGGACGGGCTTCCCCAGACCCCCACCCCACCACTCCCTCACCGTGTGACTTTGGACAAGTCATTCAGTTGCTCTGAGCTTCCTCGCCTATATAGTGTGTCTAATGACGGCTGCCTTGTGAGGATGATGTGAGGGGCCCGTGTGGTCCTGTAGAGGCAGCACTTAGCATCGCTTGGCACCTGGGGAGAGCTGAGAAATGGTGAGCGCCGTCATCGTCATCATAACTTATCGTCGTCGTTGTTAGGCGTGTATTGGAAAGAGGCTGTGGGGTCTGGACAGCATGAGCAGCAGCAAGTCCCCAGGGGAACGGGAGCTGTGGGAGGGTGTGGATCTCTGGTCAGCTCTGTCCCGGCCCCAGCGGCCATGGGGGCCCTCAGCTCATGACCCGCAGGTGTCGACTCCTAGGAAATGTGCTTCCATTGGTCTGTGGCACGAGCCACTGCCTTTAGAGCTGGTTGTTTAGAGCAGAAGCCAGGCCTAGCCCTGACCACCGACTCTGCCCACAGTGCTGGATGTGAATGACGAGACACCCACCTTCCACCCTGCCACATACAACGTCTCCGTGTCCGAGGACGTGCCGCGGGACTTCCGGGTGGTCTGGCTGAACTGCACCGACAACGACGTGGGCCTCAACGCTGAGCTCAGCTACTTCATCACAGGTCTGGCCCTGCCTCCACCCCCTCCCGGATGAGCAGCCAGCCGGGAGAGGGGAAGGGGCCTGAGTCAGCCATCAGGGTTTTGCTGCTGCTGGGGTCTCCCTGAGGATTTGCCCTTGACTTCTCCTCAGGGTTTTGCTCCTGGGTCCCTGTGGTCTGGCTCTCTGGGGGCCTCCTGAACCTGTAGGGGGACGGGGGTGGGGAGGTGGACTTCCTGAAGTTTATTCTAGAGGGTGGTGGAGCCAGTGACTCCTGGGGAGGAGCCCTGCCCCCCACTCCACCCCATATCAGGGTGACAAAGCAGTGACTAGAGGAATGTGGCCTTTTCCTTCCTTGGGGACCTTTCACCCATGAGGAGAATTTGCATCTGTTTAGAGGCAGATGGCTTAGACATCCCTGAGTGAAATGGGTTTCGCTTAAAAGTGTCAAGTGGCTACCACTTAGAGACCTGTGGAGAAATACTATGAGGCCACGTCTGGCTCAACAGTAGAAGGGGAGCCATGATCGATTAGTGATGTCTGCCACGACAGTAGGCTTGGTAGGTGGTGGTAAACATGCCACGTATTAGTCATTCCTGGATTAGAAGAGTCTACCAGCATTCTTCAGTCCAGGACACACATGAGAGGTGCTGGAATGCATGGCAGGGAGCAGGGCAGTTCTTTCACATTCCTCAGCCCTCCCTCGGCCATTTTACTGGCTCAATCTTCCCTCTGTCCATGGCCTACCTGCAGCCACATTACATGCACACTCATGTACACACATGCCGTGCACACACCAGCCTCCCTGATGCCTCTCCTCCGGAGCGAGGAATCCCAGACTACGGCCCGTCCACAGTTGCAGCCCAGGTGAACTCCCAGGCCTCTGTCTCCCTTTCCAGATCCTTTCCCTCCTTCCCCCCCGCTAAAGGAGCCCTACACCCTCAGGCCAGCTCCTTACAGGCCGGTCCTCAAGACTGCTCTGGAAAAGGCTGTTATCAGGACCCCCACATGGCACGAGCCATGGTTTGGCCACCAGCGCTACTTGTGTCCTAGTTCCTTCCCTGCCCCTTGGAGTCAGATTGTGTCCCTTGTAGATGGTGCTTCAGGCACTGGGGAGCAGATACTGGAGGCTCGGGGAACGGGAGCAAACCATGTGAGGACAAGGGAACACCTGGCGGCAGCCCCTAGGATGACTTCCCAGTGCCTCAAAGTGGCCAGTTTCTGCTGACCTGAGAGCCCTCCCAGCCCTAGGTTTCTCGGATTTTAATCCTGCACATTCCGCCCAACGCTGTGCTGTGTCCTGAGCCAAGCTAGCCCAAGCCCGATGCAGTGGCGCCCTCTGCTGCCCAGAATGCCACACTGCCTCCCAGCTGGCAGGGGAAGGGTCTCCACACTGTTCTGATGGAGTCCTTTCCTGGCTTGTGTCTGCCTCAGGGAGGAGGCCCTCACCCTTCCCACCTGTCCCAGAACTCAGGAGGACTGTCTGAGGCATGTCTCCCGTCCACCTGCTTCTACTCTTTACCCTGTGGAGCCTCCAGGAGTCCCCACTCAGAGGGCCCAAGAACGCTCGGCTGACTCCAAAGTCCTTGGCCACATATAAAAGCCCCAGCCCAGGTCAACTGCTCAGACACTTCTACCCGACAGGCAGGTGGCAGAGTGGAGACGGACTCAGACTCGGGAATCAGACTGCTGAGTTGGGAGTCCTACACCCCGAATAGGTGACTGTACCCTGTAACCTCACTAAAGGACTGTTTTCCTTCTCTGCAAAGTAGTGATAGTGCAAATGAGAGGAAATGCTCCACAAAGTGGCTGGTACACAGTAGGTGCTCAATGAATGTTAGACCCTTATGATTTTCAGGCATTTGACAGTTCACCTAAGCCCACACAGGCCACGCCCTCATCAGAGTCCCCCAGGACCCCCTTCCCTGGCTAAGCCGAGTGGAAAGCACAGCCTTTCACCCCCGGACCACCCCTGGAGTGTCCTGGCTCGGAAGCAGAGCTGGGTGCCACTGCCCTTTCCCTGGCCGGGAGCTCTGTTTCCTGACCAGAGCTTCATTCTCTCTTGCCCACAGGTGGAAACGTGGATGGGAAGTTCAGCGTTGGCTACCGCGACGCCGTCGTGAGAACGGTGGTGAACCTGGACCGGGAGACCACAGCCTCATACACGCTCGTCCTGGAGGCCATCGGTAGGCACCAGTGGGTTCACGTGGGGTGGCCTTCCAGGAGCCAGGCCTTGAGCCAAAGGCTCTGCCCTGATGCCACTGGAGAAAGGGCAACCAGACCCTCAGTATACTACTGTGCCCTTGCGGGCCGTGAGGCTCGGCACATGGCGCTACCTGCCAAGGTGGTGTGGCAGGGGCTGTGTGGGAGCCATACGGGAGAGCAGCACGTAGACAAATCACTGCAAAACCAGGAGGACAAAGCAGAAAGGGAAGAAGGTGTGGCCCAAGGGTAGCAAGCACAGAGGGTGGTGGAAACATGGGGAGGGGGGTGATCAAAGCAGGCTTCTCGGAGGAAGTGGCCTCTACAAGTGCCTTTCAATTAATTAGGACTCTTGGCGGCAAATTTTAAAATAAACTGACTTCAACCGTGTAGGCTCACAAAACCAGTCCACGGGGAGATGGAGCTTCAACTATGACTGGCTTTGGGGCTCAGGTGATGCCACCAGGCCTCAGTCTCTCTGCACTGGCTGGCTCTGCCCCCTGCGTGTTGGCTCCATCCTCTGGCTCACGTGGTGACAAATCCTTGCTGCAGCCCCAGCCTTAATCTGGGTTCAAGTGCAGCGGCAGCATTCCTCCCTAGGGTGACCATCCTTGCCTGGTCATGCAGCAACTGGGCACAAGCTCCCTCTCCCAGGGAAGATGATCCAACAGCTGCCCCTGGGGCTGAGCCCTGGGAGGGTCCTGCAAGGAACCGAAGGGGCAGAGCCCCTGGATACCGTAGGCTTAGAAATCAAGCAGAGCCGCCATCCCTGAATGCAGGGATCCAATCCATCCTGTAGGTGGGTTTGACTCAACTCATGTTTCATAAGAAATGACAATTCATCGTGAATGTTTAAAAATCAGGAGATTTTATTTAAAAGCTCAGACGTTTGATTTCTCCTGAGAAATCAGAAGATCTAGTGTCACTGGGCCCCCTCCTGCCTGTCCAGTGTGGACCGGAGCAGAGGACAGCTGCCCCTTGAGGCAGGCATGCCCAGGTGTGGGGTCTTGCCTTCCTGGCCCTGACGGCAGTCAGGTTTGGCATCTCAGGACCTGTATCTGGTTCTTAGGGCTGCTGTAACAAAGTACCACAGCCTCGGTGGCTTAAAGAACAAATTTATTCCCTCACGGCTCTGGAGGCCGGAAGTTCAAAAGTAGTTGTCCACAGGGTTGCATTCCCTCCAGAGGCTCCAGGAGAGAATCCTTCCTTGCCTCCTCCGGTTTCTGGTGGCTCTAAGGGTTCCTTGCACGTGGCTGCAGAACTCCAGTCTCTGCCTCCAACGTCACATGGCCTTCTCCTCTCTGTGTCAAATCCCACCCGCCTTTCCCTCATAAGGACCCCCATGGGGTCATGGGGTTTATGGCCCACCCAGATAATCCAGGATACCGGATACCTCATCTCAAGATCCTTAACTTAATTACATCTTCAAAGACCCTTCTTCCCAATAAGGTTACACGTACAGGTTCCCAGGGATTTGCCATGGCTGTATCTTTTGGGGGCCACCATTCAACCCACCTCATGCCTCAGTTACCTCCTTTGTAAAATGGGGGTGATGATAAGAGCGCCCGCTTGGCAGGCTTGCTGTGAGGATTGAATGAGTTAGAATAGCGTCTGGAACGTATTAGATACGGTCAGTGTTGTTCCTAATCTAAAGAGAAAAAGAGCCCCCCCCTTGCAAAGGCCAGAGCAGGTGGGGAACAGGGCGTACCTGCGGCTGGTGCCCGGGAACGTGCCCCTCAGGCAGCTGCTAACACCCATCCTCTTTCACCTCCCACAGACAACGGCCCCGTGGGCAAGCGGCGCACAGGCACGGCTACCGTGTTTGTCACCGTCCTGGATGTGAATGACAACCGGCCCATCTTTCTGCAGAGCAGCTATGAAGCCAGCGTCCCCGAGGACATCCCTGAGGGCCACAGCATCGTGCAGGCAGGTGGCGGCCGGGGCACAGGCAGGGCCACGCTCAGCTCAGAGCGCACGCGCTCAGTGGCCTCGCAGCAGAGCGGGCTGGAAATAGGAGAGGGTCCAGCTGCTGCTCCAAAAGTAGCCGGCGCTGTGGCCAAGGGGGGGCCCAGGCTCCCTTCTCCCTCCTGGGGAGAGTAGGCCCCGAGGTTATGTAGCCCAAGATGGGCCCTTGCTCCCCGCAAAACAGAAGGAGGGCCTCGGCCCTCCTCTCCTCCCTCCCTCCCCCACAGTCCTCTCCCATCCCCCACTGCACCCAGAAAGGCCTTTCAGAGCAGGGGGAGCTAGAGGTGTCACGTTTTCCCAGAAAGGAGTGAGGAGAGAAAGCCAGGGCCCAGTGAGGCCCGGAACAGAGCTGCTTTCACAGGGCTTTTGGCTGAAGCTCCCCTCTTGGGAAATAAACCGGCACAAAAAGAAAGGGCTCCTTTGCCCAGGGAGCAGGAGCGACAGCCTTGGGCCTCGAGGGAGGAAGGGGGGGACCTGGAAAGGAGGCTGGGTGCCCTCCCCAGCCCTCGCTGGAGGCCTCAGTTGCTGCGTGGGGAGGGAGGCCGGGCATGAATCACCCTCTTCACCAGCTGAGCGCAGGGTTTCCCATTGGAGGCTGAGCCCAAGAGCGAATCTGGGCCTGCCCGCTGGGCCGGGCTCCGGGGCTTGGGAGGGGCAGGAGAGCAGGAAGCTGGGAGTGTGCCCCCTCCCTGCATCAGGGCCGGGCGTGGGGCAGGAGGGGAGCCGGGGGCAGGGCGCTGACTTCCAGAGGTGCCAAGAGAGAGTCCAGGAAGCCACGGGGGGTTGCTGGACTCTGGGGGCTGGTTCTAGAAAAGGGATCTGTCCCTCTGAGCCTCAGCTCCTGGGGGTTTAGAGACACCCCACATGCACCAAGCTGTGGGGCCCCGCCTCTCCCCTAGCCCAAAACCTAACACCCGTCTCCCAGGACCAACCTGGGGACACAGCTGGGGGTCTGGCAGCCTTTGAGAGCCCCTCCTCCTCCCCAGCTTTTCGTCCTTCAGGCCGGGGGTAGCCTTACTGCCCACCCCGGTGACACCACGTGCTAGGCAGAGCACGCTGGCCAGCGGGGGTCGGGGGACCGGCTGCAGGCAGAGTTCAGCCTGGGATGCCTCAGGGAGAGCTGGCAGGAGGCAAAGCAGGGAGGCGTCACTAATCTGGAAGGGAGGGGGACACAGTGCTGCAGGAGGGGGCCTGCGCACTTTCTAAACCCCAAGAATTGGTTTCTATTTATACAAACTACTCAGACTGAAATCCTAGAGCTCTGTGAGTAATATAAGGCAGGCCTGATTCTTCCCGTTTCTCAGGGAGAAATTCAGGCACTGGTGATTTCTCCAAGGCCCCCCTGGAAGTAAGTTTCTGGCCAAGGCGGGCTCGCTCTTTGATGTGATGTCAGGCTGACCCAAAAGGAAGGTACACTGGGCCTGTCCAAGAGGGCCTGCTTGGACAGAGAGCTTCTCCGTAGAAGCATCAGAAGGGAGAAGGGGATGCCCCCCGGGACTAGACGGGGCCACCCTTCACTCAGTCAACAGAGGCCCCATACTTCTGAGCCCAGAGCTGGTGAGGCAGAGTGAGGGGTTGGATGCGGTCTCGCTCTCTGGGAGCTCCCAGGCTTGTGGGAAGGCGGAGACACAGGGATGACCCACACTGCCAAGAGCAAGTGTCCCTGCCCTCCCTTGGTTTCAGGTAGGAGGTGGTTTCAGGTGTAGAGCAAAGAGGGCTTCACAGAGGGCGTGCCAGGTAAGCCGTAGCCAGGGGAGGACAGGTATTTCAGTTTACCTGGAGTCTTGGGTCAAGAAGAGGCTAGAAGGATCGTTCACAGCCAGCTCCCAGTGGGCGCCAAACACCAGACGAAGGAGCTCTGGCTTGATCTGGCAGTAGGGAGCCAGTGAAGGTTTTGGAGCCGGGGATGACAAAATCGGAGCTCACCCTGTGAGGAGACTCGGCTGGCTGTGCTATGGGGCGTAGCACGGCGCGGTGGAGCAGTCCGTGGTGGGGTACCAGGTGGCCCTGGCCAGATGACTTTCTGGGGCAGAAGCTGGGCAGTTCAGACCCCTCTGCCCACCCTCCAAATTTGGGACCCAACCAAAGTGTTTAACCCCAGCATCGTGACGAGAGGCTGAAGGTTTGGGATTCTGAGAAGCCCACCTTGGTGTGGGATTACTTTGACAGTAGCCAGTCAGTGAAGCAGTGGCCAAAAATACAGATAGCACACGTCATGTGGTCCGAGCCTGAGGGCCCACAGCCGTCCTGGAGAGAGCTGGACCCTTCCACTCGAAGGAAGGCCGCCTCCTTCCCTGGGTGACGCATGAAGCCGCTATGTTGTGTCCTCAGAGCCCAGAGAGTAACACCTCCAGCTGCTGGCAGTGCCTCCTCCCACTCTGACACAGGACCAGTCCTGGCCTGTGCAAGGAGCTTCTTAACTCATTCTCAGCGCGTTCCTCATCCATCTTAGCAGAGGCGCATGGGGGCCGGGTGCGGGGGGGCACGCCAAGATGACAGCCGAGATTGTGATTGGCTGGGTGGTGTTGAGCTCCTCCTGCTTGCCCCTCCTCCCAGCAGGGACCCAGCATCTGATCCACCCAAGGGTGCTGGCTGCTCCCGTGTATCACAGGCAAATGCTGGCAGGCCCAGGAAGTCCGAGGAGAAGACTCCCTGGGTTCCCCTTTGCCTTGGGCACAGAGTTGGCACAGAGGGCAGGACACTCCCTTATCCCCAGCAGGGGCTGAGTATTTCACTTGGCTGGAGGGAACCTTTGGCCATTCAGCAACTCGCACTGGAATCTGAGCTGGGTTTTGGCACCTGGAGGGCGGGCAGGGCTTCTGTTGGGAAGCAGGGGCGCCGCTTCCTGGAGACGGTTGGTGCCTGGTGGTCAGAGAGGGGCCCTGGGGGCCCCAGGTTTGTACCGTTCAGAGCCTTGGGCCAAGGGTCCCCATGGCTGCAGGCGCTCAGCTTGGTCCAGGAGTCTTCCAGCAGGCAGCAGCTAGAGTGTCTGCAGGAAGGAAGGTGTTCTTGCAGGGGCCGTCTCTGGGAAAGGCCACGGGCCTGGGCACACAGGGAACCCGTGGGGGTGAGCGCGTGGCCCATGTTGTTTGGGCCACTGTCCTCTTGCAGCCTGTGGTGCCAGTTTCCGTCTGAGGCAGGAGGGCCCGCAGATGGACCCTGGAGTAGGGGGACACTCTTGTCACATCTTTGTAGATTCTATGCAGTCACAGTCGTCGTGGTCCTCTCTGCCCGGCAGGGGGCGCCTTGGGGCAGGCCAGCCACGGCGGAAGCTGTGCAGGGAGCGGCGCAGCGAGCCCAGGCGCTTCCAGAGCCGGAGCTGGGGCTCACTGGGGCTCCCCGGGTGGTGCGGCATGCACTCGCAGGCCCAGCGGCGCCTTGGCTCCAGCGCAGCGGGCTTGCAGAGGGTCATGAACAGCAGACAGGTGGCCAGCAGGAGGAAGATGCAGGCCAGGGCAATGAGCACGGGGATGGGGTCAACTGCCACTGAGAGCCTCCCCGGAGTGGCAGGAGCTGTGAGGAAGGCGAGGGGGCTGGGGCCCTCTGTGCTCATGGCTCCTGCAACAAGAATGGGACAGGAACAAATCAGGTGGACTTGGGACTGGAGAGGGAGGGGAACTTCGATGGACTCTAGACACAGCTAACCTAGCTGCAGATAGCATTACGGTCATTTTACAAGTTAGAGCAATGAGGCTGGGAGAGGTAACAGGTCTAAGGTCACACACTGGGAAAGTGATGGAGCTGGACGTGAACTCATGGAGGAGGCACGAGGGTAGTGCCTTCCGGCATTTTAAAGTCAATTTTCATGAATTACAATAGTCTTAGACTGAAAACTTGGGATCTAAGACCAACTCCATCACTAAGGTGCTCTGTGACCAGGAACGATTCATCAATCATAGGAGGTTGCAGCAGGCAAGGACCCTAGCAGTTATCTAATGCCAAGACTGCAAACTGGGGACGCACCAGTGTGTTTTGTTGGGTTCTTGCAGTGTTTTTATAAATTTAAATTAATTGTGAATATTTTTAAAAAACAAAAGGAAACCAAGATATTTCACATAAATATCTGAACGTCTGGCTTCTCTTGAAATTTCAGAATTTCAACACTGGCAACATGGGGCCAGGCACCCAGTGGCCGCGGCTGAGCCGTAGCTGCCCCGTTTAGACAGGGTGCTGGCCCCCAGCCCATCGCACTCCCTGCCCTCAGGCCCCCTGCACACCTGTGTCACCTGCCTGGCCCTGGGGGAATTTCTCTTGGTGCTTCCTGAGGAAGACCAACCTGCTCCCTTGACAAGTGAGGAAACTGAGGCCCAAATAAGGGACTGCCAAGGTCACACTGTGAGCCAGTGGGCAAGCAAGACCAGGACCAGGTTTCCTGACTCCTGGCCCAGTGGCCTTGCCACCCCGTTGGCTCCCAACTCTCTCCCAGGACTCCCTGAGCAGCTCTGAGAACAGGTGGGGAAGAACCCACAGAGAGCAACTGAGTTGACAAGATGGGGCTCGAAACCCTGACATAGTCACCTGTTATCACTTAGGAGCATCCCACTAGAGGGAGGACGGCAGGTGGTCCTTATAGCTGGAAAGTCAAGCTGAGCTTCTGGCTGCAAATTAAAATGCTTACAGAGCGCAGATGGTAGATAACGTGTGACCAGCGGGACAGGTGGGCAGGCCTACCTGGAGAGCAGAGGCCGAGGGGCCTCGGCCAGGCTGATGGAATGCCGGAAGGCAAGCCCCTGTGGTCCCCTTCCAGGTTCCCGAGAGAAACCAGAAATCTGGACTTTTTAGGCAAACGTTCCTGATGTTTAAATATTGGCAACTAATTCAAATCTGATTGAGAGAGAGAGGGGGGAAAAAAAGACACTGCAAAGGACAAACAAACTTGATTTTTTAAAAAATCGAAATGAATTTTCAAATATTTAAAATACTACAACAGGCCAAACAAAATGCATAAGGAGGCTACATCTAGCTTCCAGGCCAGCGTTTGTGATCTGTGATTTCTACAAACACAGGACAGGAAATCCAAAAGGGGGGTCTAATAAGAAATAATCATCTATTTCTCTTTGACCTTGGAGACTTTCATGAGCCTGATGGGTAACAGATTTCCCTCCTTTTCCCAACTTGCAGCTTATGCTAACGCAGTCAAGGTCTAGCGCCAACACTAGACAGAAGGAAGGGCTTTAGGTCGTGCCCTGCCGAGGCTCTGCATGTGGGCTGCAGAGTCCAAATCAGCAGGCAGAGGGGAGTGGAGAGGGGCGGCCCAGCCCCACGCTGCCCAGGCACTCACCAGCAGCCACAGGACCTAACTCCCAGCTGCCTGTACACAGCCTCCTCCCGCCTGCAGCCTCCCCTGTGCCCGGCAGCGACTGAGGGCATCCAGTGCACCCCCACCCCCCACCCAGTTCCCACCACACTCCTTCCAGCATTTCCAGACAGGACATGACCCCTCCCAGCTCCCAGATGGAAACTCTCATGCCCAGCTAGCTGCCCAGGGCCTCTGCCTCTCGGGCATCAGGCCTAGAGAGTGCTCTGGCCGGGCCATACATGGGTTGGCCCTTCCTTGAATCTGAGCAGGGAAGGAGGATGGGGTATGCCCACCACCATGTCCCATGAGGAGAAAACTGCCCGTCCGTCTGTCCTACCCAGGGCAGTGCTTGGCTGGAAGTAAGAAAAGGGCATTCGGAAGTGGGAAAAGTCTCAATCCTACTAGTCCTAATGTTATTTCAAGGCCTTCCCATGGATCTGGAGACCCTATCAGGCCAGCAAAGCAGGTCCAGGCTTCAGTCCTTGGGGCAGCGCTTTAAAAGAAGATAAGTGAGGCTATAATTAGCATTCGAGTATTTTCCTTCAAAGCAAGAGGTTCCAAAGTGCTTGAAAACATCAAGCCATCCCCCCCGGGACGCACAGCAAAGCCAGCTGCAGGCCCCCTTGATACCCTTTCTGAGCAGCCAGCAGGGACCCGTCGTTCTGGGGAAAGGAGACCTCCATCAGACCAAGGCTTGGAATGATTTTGAGAGCAGCTGAAGCCTCCCCCTGCCTGTTGGAGTCCAAGGCATGCCGGCAGGCCTTGCTCTGGACATATCTCTGCAAGCTTAGTCTAGAACCTTCTTTCTTCATTCAGAGCTCCATAGAGCAGGGCACGCTGTGAGCAGAGGGGACTGATGTCAGCACGACTTTCTATATAGCCTCGGACTAACCACTGCTCCTACTGGGCCTTTCTGCTCTCCAGAAGAGTGGAGGGATTCCCCAGGTCTGAGCACGCCCTCACATTCTCCCTAAAGTACCCCAGGAAGGGTGCAGCCCCACTTTCCTGCAGTCCCCCAGCACTGACCTCTGAGCCAGCCCTCAGCAGTCCCCAGCCGGGCGAAGAGTTCTTCTCAGCTGTCCAAGGGAGGCCCCAGGAGCACCGGGCACCACTGTGACCCAACCTGCCCTAGGCTCTGCCTTGCCCTGTGCCCCTCAGCCAGCCAGGCAGAGTGGCCTTCGCCCCTCACTCTCCAGTTAGACCTGGCTTTGTCTGGGAGAGCCTGGGCCCTGCCTTGAGGGAGGGGACAGCCAGGAGGGTAGGGATGGCAACTGGGCTGGGAGAGGGGAGCGTTGCAGAGGAGTTGGGAGCTCCCGAGCCTTCCCACGGCCTCACTCCAGCCTGTCTCCTTGGAGCCCTCTGGAGGGGCGGAGGCACTGGGGAGATGCAGGGGGAGGGTTTCCCTGCCTCTGCACCCACAGCTCTCACCTTCCCGTTGGATGTTTGAATAGTATGGTCAGGGGCAGCCAGCGGCTTGCTATTCAGTGCCTGCCAGCCTTCAGGTTACCAGGGAGAGGGGCTACAAGCCACACAGCGGGAGGGGAACAGGCAGAGAGATGGGCCCTGATAATCCCCAGGCCCCCCTCCCCTCAGCTTCCCAGCAAAGCACCTCCCTTTGAGGGCGTCTGGCTGCAGAAGTGAGGGAGAGAGGCATTTTCAAAGGTCAGAGAGATAACAGGGCAGAAAGCACAGGACTGAGAGACAGCCAGGGCTGTGCTGCTTGTAGCTTGGGTGGGCCCTTGGAGACCCTCCAGGTGGTGGCCGCACGCGCGCACGCACACACACGCGTGCGCGCGCGCACACACACACATACACACACACACACACACACACACACACACACACACCTCCCACTCCCCTCCCCCTCCCCCTCCCCCTCCCCCAGCCTCCTTTCTTCCTGGAGGCCAGCACTTCCCTGGCAACCAGCTGCCTGCTTAGGAGCCTAAGTCTTAAGCAGCTTTCCCATCAAGGACCCCCAAGCTCCCAGAGATATAACACGGAGGTGGGGAGTTGTGGCTCTGCCCAAGGCCTGAGCCTGGGCTCCACCTGCTTGTTTGGAGCCTCAGTTTTTGGCATTTAGCTCTTCCCTCCTGCCCTTAGCCCTTGACAACAGAAGAAGTATCCTCTGCATAGCCCCAAATGGATAGTATTGCCAAGTCCATTAGACGACTGAGGGGTCATCTCATCCATCCCCCTGTCTCTCGGATAATGAAACTGAGATATAAAGAGGTGTGGCCTGGCCAGGGTCACCCAGCAAGTTAGTGGTAGGATTTGGTGCTTTCCCTGAAAAGCGTGGGCAGGCGTGGGCACCAGGCATCTGGTGCTGTGAGCTGCATCAGCCTAAGGATGTTCCCACTGCCCAGAGCTCCCACTGGGATTGCTGCATCTTACACCTCGCCCTTCAGTGAATCTCATTTTCCTTCACCTTCTCTTCCCAAGCTGACTGCACACCTCATCTATGGCCTTCATTCTTCTTAGCTGGTAGGAGGCAACACTCCCAGGGTGGTGCAGGCTGCCAGGGGAAGTCCCAGCACGGATGGAAGACACCCAAGGACATCCACTGGACAGCTTGGCCCTCTCCCCTGTCCTGAGCCCTTCCAGATCCGGACTGTTGAAGTGCCCCACTACATCCCTCCACCTATTAGCTCTTAAGACTTCTCATGGGAGAGAAGAAGAACTCCACAGCAAGGGGCAACCCAGCCATACCACCTCCAGTATAAATCAAGAGGGCCTCCCAGGAAAAGGTGGCCTATCTCACAATGTCCAGCCTTCAACATCTATCTCTGCACCAGGCATCAGACCAGATGCTTTGCAGAGATTATTTCTAATCAACCCCGCAAGGTTGGTTATCAGTGTACCTACTGAGGCTCAGTGGGGTTACGTGTCTATGGCCACATAGCCAGTAAGTGACAAAGTCAGGATTCACGCTTGGGTCTCCCTGACCCAGACCCTCTGTTCCTTTCACACCAACAGACTTCCCCTTCTGCCCACCATCAACACACTTTTCAAAATCCTTAGACGCACAGCACAGGGTTGAAGTGATTGGCAGAGACAAGAGGGCAGATCCAGAAGAAGTGGGAGGGTCCCAGGCATTACAAAGCAAGTCACACGTACTGTGGCCCCATGGGAGCCTGCCCAGCCAGGCAGGCTCGGGCCTCTCTCTCTATCACTTTGCAGGGGAGTTCTCTGCTCCTTTCCGGTATGTGGCAGGTAGAGGAGGTGTTCAGCTCGCAGTTTGACAGGACACACCTCAGGGCCAGCTGTGACTGCCAACAGCCTCAAGGCCAGACTCCTTGTCAAAAGGGCTAAGGACCGGGCATTCTCAGAGTGAGAACAGCATACCCCAAGTCCCCCTGGAGATAGTCCATAAGCCTGAGGTACAGCCGAGCAAGCTGGGTGGGCTGGAATACACTGGAATGATCCTGGTGTGAACGGACATGGAACCTTTGGGAGGTGGGATTTCTGGGTCTCCCCAGTGTGGCTGTTATAGTATACAGCGCCTGGCTGGGAGCCAGTGTGACTAGAATAGCTTCAGACCAAGGAAGTGTGGGCAAGGAGAAGTCATGCAATCCACCTACCCCAGGTGAGGCTCCTGGAATCTCAAAAGACTGAAGGAGGGAACTGTGGAGGGCTGAGCTAGTCAAGCCTGGATCTAGAGAGCTGCAGTGCTGTCACCCACCTTCTCCTCCGTGCTCCCTGAGAACCTAGAGGAGGGTCAGGGAACAGAGCTGGCAGGTGCCTCGCCATGGACAGGGCAGCATGGGGCCATCAACAGACAGGTTTCCTAGTGGGGGATGAGAAAGATGTGTCTCTCTCCTCTCCCACACCCCCAGCCTCGTGGGAAACCATGGGTTTAGGCAGGACGGGCTGGGAGTGGTGTGAGGGAAGGGGAGGGACTCCAGAAACACCTTCTCTGCCTGTGAGTGGAATTCAAGGAGTAACCACGTGTCTCATTCTCCCTCAGCTAACAGCCACGGATGCGGACGAGGGCGAGTTTGGGCGTGTATGGTACCGCATCCTTCACGGTGAGTGGGCTGACCTAGGATGGCGGGGAGGGGGGCAGGCCCTCCTGCCTGGCGGGTAGCAGAGCTTCTCTAGGCTGCCAAGGGTTTGGGAGGTGCAGCCAGAGAGGCCCCAAGCGCTATACACACAGGGCGGGCAGGTCAGAGGGAGGAACCAGGGATGTTCTCCAGTCATCTGCGCCAAGTTTGTTGTATTCTAAGTGAGGATGCATTCGATTGCTATGCTCCCCAAGTTCCTCATGTCCCATGGTGGGATATCACCCTGACAGAGGGGGCCTTGGGGAACAAGGCAGCCCCTGGCAGTGAGCTCCCAAGAGACTGAGCCTCATTGGCCCAACATGTATCCTATGCCCATCCCTGAACCAATCACTATGGCCTGGGACACTAGGACAGCCCCCCAGTGAGCTCCCCAGAATGAGTCTCACTAGACCAACTGGAATCATGGGACCATGCCTGAACCAATCCCTATGGCCAGAGACTAAAATGTGCTGATCTGCTCACTTCTGCCGTCGGGTGAAATCACCCCTATGCAAAGCACACGGACTGAGAGTGGAGGTGGGTGGATCCCAAAGGAATAGCAGCGTCCACGAGATGAGGAAATGGGAGCTTCCCCACTAAACCCCCAACAGAGAATTGGATTTGGGTTCCTTTCTTTGTAATGCCTCAGAGTCCTCTGAAATATTGAATGTACTGACACCGCTGGGTATGGGAGTCTCAGGGGACATGCACGCCTTCCATGGGGGTCACAGAGTGAGCTTCTGCCCCGTCCCTCAAATCCTGCTAGGCCAGGGCAGCATCAGGCAGAGGCTTCTTTGCCACTTCAGGCTTCAGCCAAGCTCCTAAGACCTCGGGGCAGGGTCTGCATTCTGTGGGTCTGGGCTCCCCAGCTTCCCTCCCACCACCACCACGATCCCACAAGCATCCTACTCCGGGGCAGAGCCCATGCTTATCATCTATCCCTCCGCGCAGGTAACCATGGCAACAACTTCTGGATCCACGTCAGCAGTGGGCTTCTCATGCGAGGGCCGCGGCCCCTAGACCGGGAGCGGAACTCGTCCCACGTTCTTATAGTGGAGGCCTACAACCATGACCTGGGCCCCATGCGGAGCTCCGTCAGGGTGAGGCGGGGGCGCTCGGGCTGGGCGGGTGGGTGGTGGGGATGCACACGGGGACAGCTCTCGGTGAAGCCCTGCGCCCTGTTCAGCGCCGACCTCAGGGCTGGGCCAAGGCCTCAGGTGAGCCAGAGTTGGCCACCAGGTGGAACCCGGTGGGGGCAGGGCCACCCCTCGTTTAGGTGCCAAATGGCACCTGGAGCTCAGGTACGGTGGGGGAGCCTGGGATCCTGGACGTGTCCTTTTGCTCTAAGCCTCAGTTTCTTCAGATGTAGAAAGGGATCAGTGATGCTGGTGTCCATCCTAAGGGATGAGGTGTCCTTACTCTGCTAACCCTCTGCATCCACACGGCTCCTTAGGGTGGGCCAAGGCAATCTCACGTACGTGATCTTGGAGCTGTGGCTGTTGCCAACTTCATTTTCCAAATGAGGAGACTGAGGCACAGAAAAGTCACTCGTGATAGAACCAGGACTTGAGCCCAGGTCTTTGGGTCCAAGTTCGGTGTTCTTTCCATTGGAAGTGTCCCCCAGATATTCCAGTCGGCGCTCCCAACTGCCCCATCAGCTATATTCGTTTCTGCCCACCCTCACTCACCTCGGGCCTCTCCACTGCGGAGCTGAAATCAAATCGACCTTAATCTTCCCGAATGGTCAAAACTACGCACCCAGATATTCCACTGGCTGGGCTGGTTGACGTACTCTCCTGCCCTGTAACAAGGGGATGACTGAGATGAATGAGATACCTTCAAGTCACCCCCATCCTGCCCCCACTGCACACTCAGCAGCTCACAGCCCCTTCCCCTTAACCAGATGGAAAGTGAGTCAGACCCTAGAGGTGAAGAGTAGGAGGAAGATGGGAAAAGACGGGGTGGGGAGCGAGCAGGGACTTTCACCCAGAGCTGAGTGGGGCTGAATCAGCTCCTCTTATCGCCCCATCTCTGCCCCACTGTTTCCCTCAGGCTGGAAACAGTGAACAGAAGCCTGCCTCGGGTCGCCATCACGAAGGAGGTGCTGGGGAGCGGGTGACTCAGCGTTGGCCCGTCTTCTGACGTTGCCCCCGCAGCTCTGCCCCAGGAAAAGACGGGAAGGGAAACCTGGGTCCTTTTAGGCTGCCCCTCTAAGTGAGATCTTCCCAGATGGAGACGGCTGAGGGGGTCAGATCCCCCGGGTATTTATACCTTGGGACTGCTTGATTCCAGGGCCCTGGTGACTGAGGGTGAGACAGTTACCCGAATGTGCACCAGGGCAGCTCCACACAGCCACGCTCACCTGCATGACTGCGAGATATTAAATCAGCACGTGAATTACTTAGTGAACTCATTTAAGCCTCATAAAAACCCCATGAGGTAGGCACTGTTATTATACCCATTTTATAGATGAGGAGACTGAGGCAAGGAGGGCTTCGCCAATGTGTTTAGAGTCCCATGGCAGTAAGGGTAGACAGAGCCAGCCTTCACACCCAGGCAGTCAGCTCAGGGCTGTTCTCTTAACCACAGTACTACGCTGCCTCACGGAAGGTTCCAGAGCACAGAGGCCACTGCTGCCTTATCCCCAAAGAGTCATTTTTAAGGTGGGAATTTGGTCGCTGGCCCTAGGGCCAGGACTTGATGGCCCTTACGGTAGCCAGCTCCCACACCCCTGAGCCCTGGGAAAGCTGGGGACCTTCCTGAAGACAGTATAGGGACTCCCTGGACTCATTTTCCCAGCAGCAGCAGACCTGGCTTGTAGGGGCAATCCATATTCTCCTGTTCCTGCTTCAGAGACCAGGACAGCACAGATGAGGGGCCAGGGAGTGTGAAGTGAAACGGTCTTCGTAGAGACCGGGGCCTCACGCGCACACCACGCAGGTGCACGCGCACACACATCTCCTGCCTCGTCCCCTTTGCGTGGCACAGCGTTGGACGGAGAGTGGGGCTGGGAACCCAGGGAGCCCGGCAGCTCAGTCGCTGAGCCTTGCTGCTCAGCAAGAACGTGGCAGACCTGGCTGTTTCCTGTACATCTGTGTCTCTCAGGTTTGCAAACCGCACAGCACTTTACCTCCTGTCTCTGCTGCTAAAAACAAGGCTGAGACCGGTTAGAGGACAGTGGCGCGCAGCCAGTCTCATGGAGGGCCGCACCCAGGCCCCATGCCACCTCCCTCTGTTTATTGCACTGTCAGACTAGCTCTGTGTTTTCCCCGCCACCCTTGGAGTCAAGGCCATTTGGACAAGCAGACTCGGGAAGGGGAAGGTTCACAGTTTCAAAAGATGGACGGGCAGCTTCTGTTTACGGCAGGAGAGTTCCTGAAATTCATCCATGCAAATCCCCCCCACACCCACCCGCCCCACCCAGGATCTCCCCAGCCAAGTTCTTGGTGAAGCCAGACTTAGAAGGTTCTGGCTTGTGAGCAGCTGTGCTCTGAAGTAGGCATGCTAGTTTGCATAGTGGGTTCTGGGTGTCTGGACGTGAAAATTCGATGACATAGCAGGGCTACACGGGCCCCAAGAGCAGGGAAGTAGAGAAACCTTAACCCCCGTAAACTTCTCCTCCCCACTGGCTCTGCCACCCCACTCACCTCACAGTTCTCCACTGGTCAGGGCACCATTTCTACTTATACCAACAGAAGCCCCTTCCCTTCTGTCCAGCTAATTCCCAGCTAACCCTGGAAGAGAAGCTGGGGCTGATCTGAGAGGCAGTGATCAGATCAGAAACCAGATATGTGTGCTCTCAGACGAGGCCTCGCGCCACCATCAGTGCTGGTGACCACACCTGTGAAGTCCACGCCACATGTCACTGCCCCTACCCCATTGACTCCCCACCCGCTCTGCTGACCAGTTCCTGCTGGCCCTGGCTCTTCTAGACTGGAAGTAGGGTATCTCTCCTGTTTGGGGGCCAGCTCATCCCCAGGATATAGCGAAGAGTGGTAAGGTTGCTAGACCCGGAAGCAGGAGAAGCCCCACTCTCTTTCCAGCTCTTGGTGACCATGAGGCCTCGGGCAAGTCCCCCCATCTTTGGGCCTCTGTTCCCTCATCTGGGAAAAGAGGCAGGAGCCCTGGGCCTCCTTGAGTGCCACCACTCTCTGGTCTCTGCCTATAACTCCCCTCCCCACCACACTGATCCTTCTAGACATAGCCCTGGTCCTGCCCATACCTGGACCAGACCCTCCCATGCTCCCGGGGGGTGGGGGGGGATGGAGGTGCACAGAAAGAAGGGTGGGGTGCTGATCTCTAGCTATAACATCTCTCTCCATAAACATCTTTTGAACTGTTTTTTGTTGTTGTTATGTAAGACATACATGTTCATTAAAGAGAAATTAGAAAATGTAAATAAGCGGTGATGAAAATTATGCATAATTCCACAATTCAGACATAGCCACTGTCTTGGGCAGGGTCTGCAGAAGCAAATCCTGAGACAAGGATTGGTGTGAAAGTGATGAGTGGGAAGTATAGGAAGTGTTCCCAGGAAAAGCCGGAAGGGGCTTGGGACCAGGAAGGAGAGGCAGCCGGCAAAGTGGAACACAGGAAACTGTGACTCAGTCCCACAGGGAGCTCTGGAGAGAGTCATCTCAGCTGCCCCGTCAGTCAGTGGCTAAGGGCTGCCTTAGCCAGTGTGGGACGTAATTCCCAGGCACCTCCGGCTCTCTGGGTGTCTCTGGCTCCGGCAGCAGCGGGGGCTGGGGTTAGTCCCCAACAAAGAACCACAGTTCTGGCCGCTGGCAGTGAGAGCACCAGAGAAAGCACAGGAGAATCTAGAGTAGTCTGAGCACCAACATCCTCTGCTACCGCCATACTTAACGTTTTCATTTCTGTTCTCCCAGATGTATCTTGATAGTTGAATGGGGTCCCTTTAAACTTTTCAGGCGCTTTTGCAAGACCCTGGCTCATTTTGTCTTCATAACCATCCTAGGAGTGGGACGGGCGTGAACTGTTAAATTGATGTTACCCGTTTCATAGCTGAGAAATTGGACAGCCCAAGTTTCACTAGTTAGCCACAGGTTCCCACAGGATTTGCAGCAGAGCCAAGAGCAAGACAAAGTTTGTTCTCTAACATGACGTTTAAGCACCTGCCATGCGCCAGGTACTGTGCAGGGTGGGGGAACATGGTGACCAACCGGACAGCCCTAGGCCCTCTGTAGGGAGCTCACAGCTGGCCCAGGAGAGCAGTGACCAGACACGCAGGCTTGGGTGGGCACAGCCCTGGGCTTGCCCCCCCCCCCCCCCCCCCCCCCCGACCTTTCATCCCTGGCCCGGCTCGTGCAGGTGATAGTGTACGTGGAGGATGTCAACGACGAGGCCCCAGTGTTCACGCAGCAGCAGTACAGCCGCCTGGAGCTTCGTGAGACAGCGGGCATCGGCACGTCGGTCATCGTCGTCCGAGCCACGGACCGAGACACTGGTGAGGCTGGCAGGAGGAAGCCGGGGAGTCCATTCCCCAGAGTGACCCGCCCCAGCTCATGCCTCCCTCTCCCGTGGGGCCTGTCGTCCTCAGGATGCCTCGGCTCCCCCACTGAGTGGCTCCCAGGTGGGGAGGGGCTCATGGGACAGTCTTGGTGGCATCCCCACCAGATTCCCAGTCCCAGGAGGATGGGAGTCATGGGGAGTTGCCCTGATTTCTGGGCAGAGAGAGGAGAGGTCACAAGCTTGGGAAGTCCGGATTTGTCGTCCCAGAACCTGGCAGCTCCTGGCTAACCTTTGGCTAAGGGCTAGGCAGGGCTGGGGGGGATAAAGGACTTGTCCAAAAGCTGGCTGAGGCCTGCTCCTCCAGCCAGCGCAGCCCAGGGCCTGGCACACACACATTTCACAAGAGGCAGTGTCCTGTTCTACAGGGCTGTGGCCATCCCTGAAGGCAGCCCGGACCTCGCCGAAGGCCCCGAGCCCTAGAGGTGGCTACCGTTAGCAGCACAAAATGAAGGAGAAAGATGACCAGGTCGCTGTGGGCCTCTTCACAGGGCCTGGCTGTCTGGGCCTGTGCCGCAGGCCAGGGATACAGCCAGAGAAAACCTCCTTCCTGTGCTTCTCATTTCCCAGCTCCTGCCCTTCTTTCATGTCAGCTGCTCCGGTGGCCCCCAACCCAGCCCCTGTCAGCACCCCCAGCTCACCTGGAGCACGGGATGGAGTAGAGGGAGAAATAGGCCTGAAAACTCCCGAGCGACTGTGCTCCCTTAATAAATGGCACCTTTATACAGTTCCGATCACGTACGTGGCTGGAGGCTAATGGTTCAAGACATTTTCTGGGTCAGAGAAACTAGTGAAAGCTATGGGTCCCTTCCCAGAAAGAATGCATGCCCAGAGTTTTGCAAATAATTTCAAGGAAGTCTGGGATTTCCTGAGTGATTTTATAATCATTCTCTTTGAAGTATGTGGACTTCAGCTAAGGAATCCCAACTGTAGCTCCTGGTTGAAGCGTGTATTCCAAGGCACAGGAATTGGGGGTGGAGGGAGTGGGGAGAACAGAGAAAGGTGACCCTGGCACTGGAACCCTTTGGCTGTAGGGACCAGATGAAGGCTTAGCCACTTCTGAGGATGCTGCCCCGGTCGAACGCTTTCTAAATCAAAGCCTCCACTACAAGGGATCCCTAATTTCCCCACCCTCTCCTTGTCCAGATACCCAAGGGAGGTGCTTGAGCTTGAATTTTATGGCTCCAGGAGCAGAACCAACCCGCTCTGGCATATCTCTCATCTCAAGGCCAGGCCCCAGAGGGCGTCACCAGTGTGTGCTGGGCCTTGCCGTCCTTAACCTTGACCCCGTCCTTGACAGTTTCTCTTGGGACGATCAGACCCAGAGGCGGGGGGTGGTGCATGCTGGGTAGGGGAGCCAAGGCCTCTCGCCCTGTCCCTCTGGGACAGCAGTGGGTGTGCTGGGGTAGCTTGTAAAGCCACAAGGCAGCCCACCCCCACCCGGGACTGCATAGCCTCTTGTGCCCTCCTGTAGGGGATGGTGGCCTGGTGAAGTACCGCATCCTGTCCGGCGCGGAGGGCAAGTTCGAGATTGATGAGAGCACGGGGCTTATCATCACCGTGGATTACCTGGACTACGAGACCAAGACCAGCTACCTGATGAACGTGTCCGCCACCGACCAGGCACCGCCCTTCAACCAGGGCTTCTGCACTGTCTACATCACTCTGCTCAACGAGCTGGACGAAGCTGTGCAATTCGCCAACGCCTCCTACGAGGTTGCCATCTTGGAGAACCTGGCACTGGGCACCGAGATCGTGCGGGTCCAGGCCTACTCCATTGACAACATCAACCAGATCACCTACCGCTTTGATGCCTACACCAGCGCCCAGGCCAAAGCCCTCTTCAAGATAGATTCCATCACGGTGAGGGATGGCACAGCAAGGGTTCTCTCTGAGGGCAGGAAGCTCAATTCCTGTAAAGCTAACCAGCGTTCATTGAGCTCCTTCTCTATGCCCAGCACTCTTCTTTGTCATAAACATCCCCGTAATACATCCCTTTAATATGCAGGGATAAGGTAAAGTTTATACACAGGCAACCTGCTGTCTTCTTGTTACTAGATAACGAAAGCTGTGCGAGTCATGGTGTTTCCCTTTGTACCGTGGCTCAGATACAAATTTCATGCCTCACTGCAGTAGCTAGTAGTCTTCGTTAGGTGTCTGGTGCAGCGATGTCTTATCTACTGCCTGGATCTTACTCCTCCATCTTTGCGTTAGTGTGTTTTCTCTCAGAATCTCTTCTTTGAAAATAAGCACAGTAATAATTGCTACAATGTGCCACACCTTGTTCCGGGGCATGCTGGGGACACAGAGATGAACAAGACCCTTTGCAGCCCTCAGAGAGCTCTCAGGCTAGGAGTAGAAGTGGGAATAATCAAGGATGCAGGTCAGAGCATCACAAGGGAAGAGATGAAAGGCTCTACAATAGAGGTGTAATGGAGCGCCTTCGGGGCCCAAATAAAGAGAGCGATCGTACCTGGCTGGGGAAGCGGGAAGCCTGCATGGAAGAGGTAATATCCGAGTGGGATTGAGAGAGAAGTAGGATTTCAGCGGACAGAGCTTCACGGAGAAGTTATGCCAGCAGAGGGAGTAATGTGAAGGTGGGAAAGTGGACAGAATGTCCCGGGTTGGCAAGGAGTCTAGTTTGGCCAGGGCGCAGGACTGCTTGGGATACGATGTCACTGCCCATCTGACCCCCTCCCTGCAGGGTGTGATCACCGTCAAGGGCCTGGTGGACCGGGAGAAAAGCGACTTCTACACCTTGACGGTGGTGGCAGACGACGGCGGCCCCAAGGTGGACTCCACCGTGGTGAGTGGATCCCCGGCCGAGAGCCCCACGGGTACAGCCTGTCACCGCTCCAAGTTCCCCCAAACTGACATCTTCACCCAGCAGGCAGGCAGGCAGTGGGTGAGGGTTTAGGTAGCCCAGGAACGGCACTGCAGCCGGCCATGCCACACCTTCCCGGGCAGCCTGGGCAGGGCTGAGACCTCAGGTGGGGGGAGGGGTGGCATCCTCCACAGACCACTGCTTGGAGTGGGGCTGGAAGAGCTGGGACTGCTAACCGTCTGCATCTTTGCCTTTTCTCTCCCTTGGCCACCTCCTGCCGCCTCTGCCTACAGAAGGTGAGTAGCCCATGGCCTGGTGCCCTCCCCTGTGGGTTGTCTGTGGCCAGTGCTGGCTTGGGCGCTGTGTGGCACTGGGCCTTCCTGCCTCTCCTGGGGGAGAGGGCACATGGACAGGACTGCAGCTGGTCCCTGCTCAGACCCCTCCCAAACTCCCCCACCCATCCACTCTCACACCTGAGCCCAGGCCCCTCCCGAGCACGAACTCCACGTCCAGCTCTGTCCCCTCTGCCCTCCTTGTCCTGTCTAGCCCCCACCCCCCGTGGGTCCTGGGGTGGGCACTGCACTAACAAGGAGTGTGTGGAACACACAGTGGAGGGAACACTGAGGCCTCATCCCAGCTCTACTCCTCAGCGGCTGTGTGACAAGGCTAATTGCTCAACCTCTCTGTGCTTCCTTTTTTCGGGTCTAAAGTGGGTATCATACCAACTGCCCTGCCTTCCTCAGAGGATGTGACGGAGCTGGCCGATAGGAAGCCTTTGTAAACTAGGAGGGGTGATGGGAGCGGGGTCTGTAAGGGGGCCCCCTTCCCTCTCTTCGGGGTCAGTGTTAGGAGTATGTTACAGTAGTCGTGTGAAGTGGGGCGCCAGGGCCAGGGGAGTGTGGGCAAGGGCAGCAGTGGGCATATGGTGTGAGTCACTGCCCCTGAGGGCTCTAAGTAAAGGCACAGAGAGCTTGTGAGCTTCGGGGAGGTTGACTGCTGAGGTCAGAGGTGCAGACAAGACTCCTAGAAGGGTAGGGAAGTGGTGAGCTCAGGCTGGGGGTGGATATGAAGGTGGGCCCCAGGGGCGGGTCATGGGGTGGAATCCTGCAGCGATAATGAGAACATTTAACAATCGATTCGGCTTGGGCCCCAGCCAGACAGGTCTGAGGCCACCTGTAGACCACATGGGTGTCCAGCTCATCATCAGCCTTGGTTACAGCCACGTTTTCACCCCTGCCGAGTCCTTTTCACCTTAGCCTAAAGGGATAGACCAACCCGGTGTCCAGGCTGAGAGCCAAATGCAGCTGCTTGGCATCCTGTGCCCCATGGCTCCCTCAAGGTGCCGGCTCCAGTGGCCCTGGTTGTGGCTTGGCTGTACCCAAAAGGCCCCTCCATCCACGGGGCGAGCCTGGGGTGAGCGAGCAGCAGTGAGCCCCCACAGCTCCCCTCGACCCCCCCAGGTCCCTGAGGGCAGCCAGTGAGCAGGGCCCGCAGGTGGTAGGTGGTGGGCACGTGCCCCGTGTCCCACAGCTCGTGGCGAGGCTCCTGGTCTTCCCCACCAGAGGGTCTAAGGCTCAGGGGGTTAAGTGGAGCCCTCTCGCAAGCCTCGACAGCCTCGTCCATAAAATGGGCCCAGTATCCCCTCGCCCCTGTCGTGCGGAGTCGGGGGCTTGAGGCCAGGTAGAGCCTGGTGAGCAGTAGGGGCGTCCCTCCCGAGGCTGCCGAAGCCCCCCCGTGGACCAGGCAGCCACTTCCTGTGCTGGGGCTGGCGAGGGCGTTTCAGAACACACACTCCTCCGTGGGCCCCTGTATTGCCACAGTCCCTTCACCCTCTTCCAGGAAGCAGGACCCACCCTGCTTTGTTCTGCCCTGGCTTCCTCTCAGAGGCTCCCAGGGGCCACTGCCCCAGATACACCAGCCCTGTCAGTCCCAAACTTGTTGGAGGTGCCAGGGTGGAGGCAAGCTGAGGGGCCTTTTAAAGGCACCACCATTTCCTCTGCGAGGCCGGAACCCCCAAACCACAGCTCACCTACACCTGATTCCTCCTCAGCGCCAGCAGCCCCCACGGCCCTGAGAGGGGTGGGGAGGCAGCAGAAGGGGCAGGCTGGGCGGGGGCGGCTGGGGGGTACTCAGAGCCATAGGAGCTCTGAGTAACACCCCCGGGCTTTTGAGGGATCAGGGAGGGAGATTTGGGCCCTGAGACCCTGGGTGGGGACAAAGGCCCATAGCTCATTCCCGTAGATCTTGGTACCTGCCTTCCTAACGCACTCACTGATGCAGACTCCCCACTGTTGGGAATACCTCATCAGAGCAGCAAATGTGGAGGGAGCACCTACTGCGTGCCAGGCTCTGGGTTGGGCTCAGGGTACATACAATGGGAAACCAAAATCAGACGTGGCTTCTGCCTTCACAGGCATAAGATAGAGTAGGGGAAAGACACTGATCAAACTACCACACCAATAAATATATGCCACGAGAGAGTGGATAACAAGGCGTCGGGGAAATCAAGGAGGGCTTCCCGGAGGAAGTGACTCAAGCTGAGCTCCTCAGAAAGCATAGGAGTTTACACAGTAGAGAAGGAAGAGCATTTCAGGCAGAGGGAACAGCAGGTGCAGAGGCCCTGTGGTGGGAGGAAGCATGCGGAGTCCCAACAAGGCCTTGACCAGAGTGAGAGAGTTTGGGAGGGATCAGATTGCGGGGGGCTTGTTTGTTTTCTTCCTGAGAACAGGGTGGTAGACATTATTATGCCCATTTCATGGGTGAGCAGACTGGGGCTCCAGGACTCCACAGAACTCCCTGACCAAAATTTATGATGGGTGGGCAGCGTCTTGGCAGATGAGATCCTGCCTGTCTGCCAGGCCAGAAGCAGGACAAGGACCACATTTGTTGGCTCATTTATTCCTTCCAGCCTCCTGATTCTGTAGGTGTTCTCGTTCCTACTTTCATCTGAGGAAATGGAAAATCAGAGAGGTTGAATAACTTTTGCCAAATCACACAGCTAGTAAGTGGTAAAGCTGGTCCTGCTGTGAAGCCTGGGTTTGTTGCCTACAGGTCTGACAGCTGCCTGAAATATGGAAGCGTGGCTAGAACTGAGAAGGGGATAGTCCTGATTAGGAAGGAGGGGGGATGAAGTGGAATCTTCTCTGAGTCGTGGTGAGGTTCCACAGGCTCCCCATGGAGTCCTGTGCACACCAGGAGGCAGGTAGGCCTGGGAGCCCCGGAGCCCCAGGCCTGGGGAAGGAGAGGATGGGATCTGGCCTGGAGCAGGGTGGTGGGAGAAGGCCTGGCTTGGGATTGCTAGAACCTGAGCTTCCTCCCCTCCCCCCACACTGCAATCCCCTCATCAGTGAACCCGAGGGGTACCTACGACTCTGGCTGTGTGGCCCATGGCCATCCATGGGCTGGAAGCTGCACCCCCAGCCAGGCCTTCTCTCCAGGCTTGCTATTCAAACCCTGCAGGAGAAGCCTGAGCTGCAGACACAAAACAATGTGTTCTTTGCGTGCAACTTGCACGTTCCCTGTTTTTATCTGGTAGTTGGAAATTCCCCTCTCTTCCCCATCTGCCCTCTCCCCACTGGGACCACCAAGCCACCTTGTGACCCGTCTCCTGCTCCTGAGCCCTGTTTCCTTTCCTCTAATCTAAAGGTGAAAGTGAAGAGGCCTTTGGGCAGTATCTGGTTGCCAGATGTGTTTTAGCTGGCCCACAAAAAAATTTTTTTTTTACTATCACCACCTAATTCCACATAAAAATCTGGATTCCTAGTTCCTTTTGAAAAACAGGAAGCTCTGCCCGTGCCAGGCTGACACACCCTCACGGATCTGGAGCCGAGTAGCCTCCGTTTCCTTTAGCCAGGGCCCATGCCTTCCGGTTCTCCAAGGCCCCACCACCTCTGAGTCCCCCCGCCAGGCCCCAGCACTTGAGTGTGTGCAGCCCTCCCCCACCAGACTTCCAGAAGAAATGCGCTCAGGGCCTCCGTGTAAAGTCAGGGTTGGCCTAGGCAGGCTCTGAAAGCTTGCTGACCTTCTGGAACTGATTGGAGGTCCGGTCCCCACTGGGCCCACAGCGGGACCCTGTGTTTGGGGTCAGGGAGGGGAAGAAGGTGGGAGGTCTCTGGCCATGTTCACACGCAGGTCTACATCACTGTGCTGGACGAGAATGACAACAGCCCCCGGTTCGACGTCACGTCCGACTCGGCCGTCAGTGTGCCCGAGGACTGCCCCGTGGGCCAGCGCGTGGCCATTGTCAAGGCCCGGGACCCCGACGCCGGCAGCAACGGGCAGGTGGGCACCAAGTGAGATAGTCCAGATCTGCCCTGTCAGTAGGGGCTCCCACAGCCCCTCAGCCGGAGGGGACCTCCAAAGCCATCCCCTCCCTGAGCAGGGAGCAGAGTCATCCAGGCTCTGCCGGGCCCTGAGCAGGTCCACCCTGCCCTCACCGCAGTCCATGGTCCAGGGAAGGAGACAGAGCTGTGCAAGCTGTCAGCCCTGCCTGTGTCCAGGGAACACGAGGCCCAAGGCTGGCCACGGCTCAGTCCCCGTGGCAGGCTGAGCACAGAGGGGGTTTAATTTCCCCAGTGACTCCTTGGTCACCTCATCCATGAACCACACAGCATCTCACCCCTGTGTGCCAGCCCTGGGCCGGCCCTCCCCACGAGGACCCAGGGCCCCAAGAGATCACACTCCTCCCCCTGCTTCTCAGGGCCCCCTCCCTGTCCCCTGGCAAGAAGTGCTCCCCACCACAGCAGGTTTGGGCACCCCCTGAGCACAAGGAAGAGGGGTGACAGAGCACACCAGTCTTCACACCACTTTGATCTGTCCTACAAATTGAGGTGTGTTTCAGGAGGTTTCCGCTGGTTTTTATTTATTTATTTATTTATTTTGCGGTACACGGGCCTCTCACTGCTGTGGCCTCTCCCGTTGCGGAGCACAGGCTCCGGACGCGCAGGCTCAGCGGCCATGGCTCACGGGCCCAGCCGCTCCGCGGCACGCGGGACCCTCCCAGACTGGGGCACGAACCCCCATCCCCCGCGTCGGCAGGCGGCCTTTCAACCACCGCACCACCAGGGAAGCCCTCCACTGGTTTTTAAATGCTTGCACACCTCTAGGGGACCAAGAGATGCTGGCTCTGGAGTTGGAAGCCTATGGGTTCAAATCCTTGTTCTCTTGGGCCCTTGCAAGCTGTGTGACCTTGCCAGTGACTTCTTGTTCCTGAGCCTCCTCTCTGAGCTGAAGAGAACAGCTCCCTTTGACAGGGTCGCTGTGAGAGCCGAACAGAGCCCGTGTGACACCAGGGCCGCGCCTGCTCCCTGCAGGGGGGCTCAGTGCTTCCCTGCCCTGGGAAATCTCATGTGGGACTCGCACCTGGCCCCAGGCCAGTATGCTCGTATCCCCCCCACCCCTAGCCTGTCATAGGCCCTGCGCCCGCTCTGTGGACCTGCCACCCTCATTCTGAAGGATGTAAGCACTTCTGAATAAAACACATTCTTCTCACTCTCCCAGGCTGAGCAGAGGGCTCAGGTGGGCGGGGGGGTGCTCCCTGGCCTGGCCAGCTGCTGGTCCTCCCCGCTTCTTCACCCCTCGCCCCTCATCCTCTCTCTTCCCTTACAGGTGGTCTTCTCCCTGGCCTCTGGCAACATCGCCGGGGCCTTTGAGATCATCACCACCAACGACTCCATTGGCGAAGTGTTTGTGGCCACACCCCTGGACAGAGAAGAGCTGGACCACTACATCCTCAAGGTGAGCGCCAACTGCCTTCCATCCCAAGAGAGCTCAGCCCATCAGCACGCCCTGGCTTTCAGCTTCCTGCTGTCACCGAGTGCCGTGGGCAGGCAGAACCCCTTAGGACCAAGAGCATGAGTGAGGCTGACCTGGAAAGGGCATCCTGGAAGGGGTTTCTGGACCCAGAGCAGGAAACAGCAGAGGTGTCTGTGCCTGCTGCCAGAGCCAGGAGAGAAAGCCTGGCAGCTGATAGAGCGACTCCTCCACAGACACAGTGTGACCTTGGGCAGGTTGTTTACTCTGTCTGGGCCTCAGTTTCCCCTCTTGTGTAATGGGCAGAAAAACCTGGCTTCCTCTGCTGAGGTGAGGAATAACGAAGACCACCACTGTTGCTGAATTGCTGAGGCTACCGTGTTTCCTGAGGGGTCTCTGGGGACCCCAGGGCCATGCTTCTGCAGGCGTCTGAGCTCTAGAACACTTTCTACAGGCCTCCAGGAAACATCAGGGCTCCTAGGGACAGGCTCAGGCTATGGTTAGGACTTCAGCTCATTGCCCAAAAGATTATTTGAGACTGTTCCTCTGTTGGCCAGAGACCAGGTCTGAGTGCATGGAACAGAGGCCTTGAAGCCAAAGGCAGGAGCCCTGGGTCTGGTTGCAGGCCCAGGGTCACAGTCAGCAGCAGGATGGGGAGGTAAAGACCGTGCAAATCAGAGTCAGATTGCAAAGGACGGTTACCAAACAGACAAGTATTGGGCAACGGTTGTTTGCAGCATGGAGCAGAAGGTGAAAGCCTTGGGGAGACCCCAGGGGGCGGGGGGCAGGGAGCAGGGATGGGCCAGCAAGTCTCTCTGGCCTCTCAGTCCCCCCCACGCCCACTGAACAGGCAGCCCATTTGGACTCCATATTGCTGATCCTTTTAGCCCTGACTCCAGTCATCCCCCTCCTCGCAGGTTGTGGCATCCGACCGTGGCACCCCTCCACGGAAGAAGGACCACATCCTGCAGGTGACCATCCTGGATGTCAATGACAACCCCCCGGTGATCGAGAGCCCCTTTGGATACAATGTCAGCGTCAACGAGGTGAGGGTGGCTCTGGTGCCCAAATAGCTGGGCGTCTGGAGTGGACGGTGGGTGTGAGCCGACCGTGAAGCACCTGTTTAAATATCTGCCTGGGGACTTCCCTGGCGGTCCAGTGGTTAAGACGCCATGCTTCCACTGCAGGGGGCGCAGGTTCAATCCCTGGTTGGGGAACTAAGATCCCACGTGGTGTGGCCAAAAGAAAAAAAAAAAAAACGCATAATTATCTGCCTGATCCACAGTTTGTCAGATCACAGAGATGGGGTCGTGGCTTACTCATTCATGATTCTATCCCTAACACCTAGGCCAGGTCCTGGAATGTGGTAACTTTTTGTGGTTCGGATGGAAGGGAGAGGGGAAGAAGAAAGTGGCCTTTCACCATCAACAGGAAACTGAGGTTTACCCTGGGAGCTGCTTTTAAATAAAACAGCTCATTTTTAAAAAATGGTATTGGAATATAGTTGATTTGCAATGTTGTGTTAGTTTCAGGTGTACAGCAAAGTGATTCAGTTATACATGTATTCATTCTTTTTCAGATTCTTATATAGGTTATCACAGAATATTGAGACCCTGTGCTCTACAGTAGGTCCTCGTTGATTATCTAGCTTATATAGAGTAGTGTGTACATGTTAATCCCAAGTTCCTGATTTATCCGTTACCCCACATTTCCCCTTTGGCAACCATAAGTTTGTTTCCAATATCTGTAAAAACAGCTCATTTTTTACTCATAGTAAGATTGAGTCACGTCAGGAGAATTTTTGCCCAGGCACTGCTGGGTGTCATGCCCGGTTGGACATTCATGAAGGCCTCCCTCAATTCAGACCCTGGCTGTCCCACTGACTGGCTGTGTGATTTGCACACATTCCGTCCTGGCACCTCAGTTTTCTCATCTGTGAATGGAGTTGGCCTAATCTGTAGCAGTATGGAGAGGATTTGATGCGTTCACTCAGGCCCCCGGCATGTAGCAGATACCCACCGAATGTTCGGCACCGTCATCTTTATCTTCCTCCTCGTTGCCCCAGGGTAGTCAGAGCAGAACTTTCTAGAGGTCCAGGTGCAGCCCTTGGGCTCTCAGGAACAGGAGCTAGACTTTGCCCCAAAGGCCTTGAATCTGGAATGACCGCTTTCCTGCTCTCCCCCCAGAATGTGGGCGGGGGTACCGCTGTGGTCCAGGTGAGAGCCACTGACCGTGACATCGGGATCAACAGCGTCCTGTCCTACTACATCACTGGGGGCAATGAGGACATGACCTTCCGCATGGACCGCATCAGTGGCGAGATTGCCACGCGGCCTGCACCACCCGACCGTGAGCGCCAGAGCTTCTACCACCTGGTGGTCACCGTGGAGGACGAGGGCACCCCTACCCTGTCGGTGAGTGATGGGGGGTGGCCTCGGGGAGAGAAGGGGGGGAGGGGCAGCTCCGCCTTCTGTGTGACAGGGACGAGATGGGTGGGAGTGGAATGCCACGTGCCGATGAGTCCTCCACAACTCCTTTATCGCGTCTTGAGTCCATCAGTCTACAAGTATTTATGGAAAGCCAGTGTGTGCCAAGCTAGGGTGTCGGTTCACCCACCTCTGCAGCCACTCAGCCTCTATTTAGCCATGTTTGCTTGCCCAGTGCAGCTCTATGGGATGGTACAGATTAAGCCCGAACCTCAGGGCCTGGCCAGCCCCCACTCCGCCTGCCAAGCTGTGCCGTGTACCTGTGGGGCCTCTGTGCCAAATGGGAAAAGGTGCCCTCTGGCCTCTTCCCCTGCATCACGTTGGTGTGACACGCTGTGGCAACACATCAGGGTCGGAAAGCGCTGACGTCCGTGGTCCAGTCTGATGCGTGAATGGGTAGGGCCACTGCCCAAGGCAATGTGCAGGGTCCACAAAGTTGCAGAAGGAGGCGGGGCCTGCAGGGCTGGATGGTGACGCCGCTGTGTGGGGTGATGGGCTGGGGGATGACGATGTCTACTGTAAGCTGGCGTCGTGATTGTGAGCAAGTCAGAACCTCTCTGAATACTGGTTTTGTCATCTGTGAAAGAGAGATAATATCTCCTGCATAGGTGGTGTTTGGGGAATTGAGTTAGCTCTTGTCTGTGGAAGCACTTGGTAAACCTCGAGGAAGAGGAGTGTATCAGCTACCTATCGCCACAATAACCCTGCATTATAAACCAAACAGAGAGGCATAAAACAACCATTGACTTAGCTCCAATTCTGCAGGCTGGCAATTGAGACCTGGCTTAGCGGGGTGGTTCTTCTGCTGTCAGCTGGGCTCCCACATGTGTGCATGGGCAGCTGTGTGTCAGTTGGATGGCTGTCCTTTTGGGGGTTGGCTGCCCATCAGTTGGGATAACAGGGCAACTGGGCCACCTGTCTGTCCCCTTTCAGAAGGCTGGTCAGTGCTGGTTCTCATGGAGCCAGAAAAGGTCCGGGGGAAAGAGTAGAGCATGCAAGGCCTCTCAAGGCCCAGGCTTGGAACTGGAACAGGGTTATTTCTGCCACATTCTGTTTGCCAAAGCAAGTCACAAGGCCAGTCCAGGTTCAAAATACGGGGAGATAAACTCTCTCTTTTGAAGGAATGAACTGCAAAGTCACGTTGCAAAGAGTATAGATACAGGGAGGTGTAAGGATTGGGGACATTTGTATAATCTGTCTACCCTAGGGACCCTGATAGTAAATGAGGCCTCAGCTCTATCCTTCTGCCCCCGAAAGGTGACTCTCTTGGATCCGGTCCTCTCCTTTGGCAGTGGCACTGTGGACTGTGGGATCAGAGCAGGCCTGGGCGGGGCTTTTTATCTGGAGTGACTCTGGGGAGGATGGTGGAATTAGGTCAATCCCAGAAAACCACATTCTGAAAAGCCCAGGATAATACTAATCACTTCAGCCAGTCATACCCAGTGGGCCAAACGGAGACACAATTACAGGGCACATGTAACTAACTGAGAGGAGGACAGGTAGGGGTATCGTTTATTGTGGCGACATGGAGGGACTCAGTTTTGACATAACCCCTCCCTGCCTGCACCTAGCTTCAGAGTGAATCATCTTCTTGGTCATCTCTCCAATAGCATTTACAGATGTGTTTGACTACAAGTAACAGAAACTTAACTATGGATTTGTAAATAAATGAGAATGCATTTTTCTCGCATAACAACAATCCCAGAGAGAATTACAAACGTTGATTTCACGCTCAGTGATGTCAGAGCTAATGTATCTTGGCCTTTCCTTCATGGTTGCAAGATGGCTGCTATAGCTCCAGCCATCATGTCAGAGTTCAAGGCAGGAAATGACAAAAAATAATAAAGAGCTATGCAAGCCACCTCTGCCCTTTGGCTAATTACTTGGGGGCCACATATAACACTGCCTCAAATAAAAGCAGGGCTCTGTTAGTGAAGAAGAGGTGGGCAACTCATGGCATCCGCCATGCTGCTCTTTTTCATCCTGACCTAGGCCAGTGAACACACCACTCTTACCCCCACTCCCCACCCTCCTCTATAACACATAGTCCTAGAGTTTTCCAGGGAGGCAGATGGTGAGACCCACAATATTCTAAGACCCTGAGTTCAGGAGGCAACATCTGGTTTCCTTTTGGTCCCCAGAAGAAACAAGAATTAGAGAAATGTGAAATCACCCTAGCCACATTTAGCCACCCCGAATGGTGGGCCACTCCCCAAGCAGTCCCTGCAGAACTTGGGACTAGTCCCCATGGCCAGAAGTTTCATCTGTTGACCAAACTCTCCTTAGAGATCCACCCTAGCCTGGTGGAGACCTGTGAACACTGCCTTCTCACACGCGGGCCGCTGACATTCTGGCCCTCCTTGAAGCAGGTCTTGGCCTGTTCCAGCTCCCTGGTAAGAGTGTGGGAAGTTGGGTGGTGAGAAATGCAGTCTCCCTTTGTCTACCTTCCTCATCTTGGTCATCACCAGCTCTGCTCCAAGAAAACAACTTCAGGATGACCAAGATCAGGAATTGGGTATATGTATATGTGTGGATATGGTTCCTGGGCTGTACTATAATAACACAGACAAACAGCATCAGGTACCAGCTGGAAAAACATTTAAAGGAGAAAACTTTTAAGTCAAAAAGTATCCATCCTTGGGCTTCCCTGGTGGCGCAGTGGTTGAGAGTCCGCCTGCCGATGCAGGGGATGCGGGTTCGTGCCCCGGTCCGGGAGGATCCCACGTGCCGCGGAGCGGCTGGGCCCGTGAGCCATGGCCGCCGAGCCTGCGCGTCCAGAGCCTGTGCTCTGCAACGGGAGAGGCCACAACAGTGAGAGGCCCGCGTACCGAAAAAAAAAAAAAAAAAAAGTATCCATCCTTTCCATTTTTTTTCTGCTTCTTGGAAAAGATCACTTTTGTTTGATTTTTGTTGGTGACACCACAGTGAAGAATTACAGGGACCACAGGGGCATTGTTGAGAACTTAGCACTGGACCATATTTGTTCATGTATTCATTTATTCATTCAGCCAGTGTTCCCTGAATACCCTCTATGTGCCAGGCCCCAGAGATACAGAGGTGAAGGCAGTGCGGGTCCTGCCATGATGAAGTGCAGCTGAGTAAGGGAGGCCATGAGGACATCCCTGTGCAGGGCCAAGGTGCAGATGGGGCACTGAGAAGGCCTCGGGGAAGACTTCCCGGGGCAGGTGATACCTGGGCTGTCTTGTCAGTCAGTCACAGTTAGCACAGCAAAGGGGGAAATCATATCCTGGAACTGGGCATCGACCTGAGCAAAGGCCTAAGAGCAAGTGGTAATCCGGGGTGGGTCCAGGGAGCTGCATGTGGTCTAGACCCGTGGCAGCATCCAGCGCCCAGAGCAGGGCTCTGTATCTACATATCCTCCCCACATTCTGTCTGGGGCAGGCCCCAGGGGCCGGTCCCAATACTTTCCCAAGTGCCCCCTCCACTCCCTCCTGGCCCCGCTAGGCCAGGGCCCTACAGCCAGTGCCCCTCCATGATTGGCGTTTGTCTCCGAGGAGTGCTGGACCCTTGAAGGTTTGCTGCCACTGGCCAGGCTGTTACTTCTGGGCAGTGAACGCTCTGGGGTCATGAGTGCCCCCAAGCCAGAGGGGACCAGAGGAGGGACCTTGTCTGCTACTGGGCAGATTTCACTGGCTGAGTGTTGAGGAAGTAGGATCGCTCCAGCGTCTTCTAGACCAGCCAGAGCCCTGAGAAGCCTCAGACCAGCCATCTCGAGGTTCCAAGAAAGGTCACCGTGGTTTAATAGGGGTGCATACGTCTGTCCAGAGACGCCCGGCAGACCCACACGCCGTCCTCTTGTTCCCACCTACAAGTACCTGCCTGGTTCAAGGAAGCCCTCACTGGCACAGGACCAGCCTTCCTGTTGGACAAGGGCAAGTAGGAGTTATTCATTCATTCATTCATTCATTCATTCATTCAACACCAAGGAAGTGCCAGGCCTGTGCTAGAGGCCAGGAAGTCAGAGATGAGTTGGACACAGATCTGCCCTCAAGGAGCCTACAGTTAGTGGGGGAAGTGGACACATAACAGAGAGCTGACACTCTAGGATGTGATAGAATGCTAGGAGGTCAGAGCCAGGAGCTAGGGAGGGTTCTGGACAAGGCATTTGCATCCATGTCTTAAAGGATGAGACTTTCTAAGCAGGGGAGTGGGATTCGGCTACAAAGTCTCCCTAAAACCAAGAGAAATCCTATATCCGAGGCCTCCCATCTCTTCTTTTCTCCCTAGGGTCCCCTCCCCCACAGCTTCCTGAGAGCAGAACATTCCTGCAAGTAGCCCAGGCCACCCCACCCAGCTCTCAGCCCCGTATCACCCAGAGCTCAGAACAGCTGTGCTGCAAGGGGCATCCGGGCCAGCCTAGGCCTGTCACACAATGGTGTGCGCCCAGCAGGGGAAGTCGTAGTACAGCCTCGGCCCTCTGCCTCGCTCCAGGCCACAGACAGGGAGGGCAGACTTGGGGGAGGGGTCCAAGTGGCCGTCAGGAGACCCCTGCAAGAGGAAGGGCTGGGCCCAGGGAGGAAGGACGGAAGGCAACTGGGAGGTCAGGAGCTGAGCCCCAGGCACAGAGGTACCTTGGCAGGGGGATGGGGAGACGGAGGTTCTCGAGGGGGGCCTCCCTGCCGTGCGAATCACAGCCAGAGGTTTGCAATCCCAGATAACCAGCCCTGGCTTCTCAGGCTGGTGGGGACCTGCAGAAGACACCTGTCCAGGCAGAAAGACAGAAAATCTCCCACCAGCCGCTTCTGGTACAAGAGCCGCCAGCAACAGCCCCACGAAAGTCTGTGCGCAGGGGGTGCTGCTCTTGGCAGCTCACCTCATATTTTTAGAGCCGAGGCTCCTCTGTCGATTAAACTTGGACCCTGCTGCTGTTTGTGAAGCCCGCTTCCCCTGGCTCAAGCTCAGGAAAC